AACAAAAAAAATTGATAATAAGGTTTGTTTCAAAACTGGAAAGGTTTGCTATTCAACCACCAATCTATGCCAAATGCAGTTAGGTGATATATTACGATCAATAGAAAAATGTGAAAAATAACAACATGACTGACATTTAAAGAAACCTCAGTGAAATGCTTTTACCTCTATAAATGTCACAGAAGCTTTTGTAGAGTGCCTGGCCACAATCACTATTTCCAGCTCCAATTTCCACGAAATGCACCCTTGGTGCAGAATTTAAAAGCTATCACTGCAAATGCCCTCCCCGTCCTTCTTCTCCCAGCTTTTATTGCTGAGTATGAGGTCTTGTAGTATGGAATATCCCTTTGGTCAGCTGGGATCAGCTGGTCCAGCTGTGTCCCCTCTCAACTCCTGTGCACCCCCAGCCTCCTCACTGGCTGGGTGGGGTGAGGAGCAGAAAAGGACTTGACTCTGTGCAAGCCCTGCTTAGCAATAATGAAAACATCCCTGTGTCATCAACACAGTTTCCAGAATAAATCCAAAAGACAGTTACCCTGAAGAAAATTAACTCTATTATAGCTAAACCCACTACAGACTTCTTCACATTTTTCTTAGCCTTGGTTTTGTCCTGACATTCACATATTCTTTAAAACAGAAAAGGACCAAGAAAGGAAGGTCTTCTACTTTCCTCCTGTATTCATTAGATTTCTTGCACTCCTGGATTATTTTTCCATTTCTTTATTTGGCCTTTTTGTTTGTTTGTTTGTTTTTACAAAAACCTGCTAAAATATTTTATTTAAAATCCTGTTCTTTATGTAATTTTTGCTTCTTAGTGACTGTCTGGTGACTGAAGACTCTGCTTATCAGAGCCTTATCTTACAAACAAGATAGTGAGACTGGCCATTTTACCACTTGCACTGCTGTGTGCAAGGCCAGGGGCATGCTAGAGAATGAAATAGTAGTTGGTGAACTACTCTTGCACTGAAATATATTTGAGACATGCAGCAATAGAATTGAAATTGCTGCACTTTAATAAAATAAGAGAAACCAGCTAACCAACATATAACTCACTCATACTCAATCAATCCAACATATCCTCTTGAAAGCACTCACAATTTATTTCAGAGTCCATAAGGGAATAATCAAAAGAAACAATGTCACAAACTATGTCATGTTAGCCACTAAGACTTAGCTGAAATGAGTATAAACAAAGTCTCTCCCTTCTTCATGCCTAATTAAACAGCAGTTAATTATGATTGTCTAGAAGAGACAATTTCCCTCAGAAGAAATTTCCAGTGGTAAAGATGAAACCAACTTTTAAAAAGCATCTTGATAAATGATTTTCTGGGTGGGAATTCAGTTCAGTGAAGAAAGATGACAAAATACAAAACAGGCAAGATGTGAATGTAGGCTGGGGTAACTGTAGGTCTCTTTCAGAACTCTACTGTTCATGCCAGGGATCCATTTCAAAATGCAATCCTGATGTTATTCTACCATAAATTTTGCTACAAGCTCATGTCTGATTTCCACTGTGTTTCTTACACTTTGAATAAATGAAGTGGGAAACAGAACAACAAATTCTGAAGTATTCCTCAGGTGACTTGTATCAGAACACAGTATTTAATGAAGTGCCATAACAGGCAACTGTAGTCCTCCTTTTTGGAAGGACATCAAGCACTGGGGATGTTGGCAATAGTATGCATTTTTCACTTGAACACTATTTCCAGAGTCTTTTTTTTTTCCACTTGAAACAATCAATCTCACTTAGGATGCAAACAGCTGTTCTTCATTCAACAACTTCATACAGAATAAAGGATTTTAAAGGACACTTTTGGGGTATTTTCTGTATTCATATGCAAACTTCTATGAAGATCATGACCAAAAGTAAAAATAAAAAAAAAGGTCCTCACTTATGCACAGAAGCAGTAACATCACTGTATTTTATCACAATAGTTCAGGTTTTCTGTTCTTTCTCAGTCATTCTACACTGTAGTCAAATCCTATTTTCAGATTCAGAACTCCTTACGAAGGCACATTGTGACAATGTCAAATTGTTTTTAGCAATTGAAGCTTAGAGATTCAAACCCCTTTTTTCTCCAACTTGCTCTTGCAATGTCATTTGAGATTTTAAATAAAAGCAGTGAATTTGTGGCTTCTCAGAAGAGACAGGATATATGCTCTTCTCAAGGAAAGAAGAGAGGCAACTGCACATCTTACTTCTGACAAATGTCTTTGCTTCTGGTTCACTTTGGTTAAGTAGTCTCAGTATAAAGTAAACAAATTTAATCCAATTTATATTTCTAAGTATTTTTTCCCATTGTTTTCAGTATGATACGCTGAATCCAACAAACAATCCAAGTTTTTTGGGGTAAAAACCAGTAACTCCATGGATTGCCAACTATCTTTTCAAGGGAAAACTAACCATCTTCTCTGTTTGTCTCCTCAGGAAAGGAGATCCTCAGGCCAATGACCTTTTAGAAAGGCAAATCCAATAGCTCTTCATTCCTAGTTCTGCCAAACCAACACTAAGAAAGACTTGGAATCAATGCCTCTAAAATAAACTTTTAAAAAATAAAATAATAAAAGTGTGATTTTTATTCATACATCTATTCTAGAATCAATATTTTCTCAAGGCTTCCTGAAACAAAAGTACTTTGAAAAATTCTCAGCAGAATTTTTCATGGTGGCTATACATAAACATAACACTAATATGCCCTTTGCAGTAGAGAATTTGAGCCAGATTTTGTGTAAACAACATTAAGAGCTGCCCCTCCCTGCTTGTGTCTCTCCTTCCCCCACCATTAATAGGCATAATGGTGGGTTACCACACATTAAATTCATTTAGCCCTCACTAAATTTCCCAAATGTTAAGAACCTCCTTTGTAGCATTAAAAAAAAAAAAAAAAAGCCAACAACACAACTCCATCCAATGAAATAATGAATCAGCCCATTCTTTAAACAGTTGTACACTAAAATTAACACTAACGTAATTTTACATCAGGGCAAACTGACTAAGAAAATTCAGGATTTATCTGCTCTAAAATACACATTTTAAAAAGCATTATGTCAATGGTGCAGCAATCTCAAGGAAGTTTTACACTAATAGGATAAAAATTGAGTTACTACTGTGATTACCTAGAAATATTCCAAAGACATTTTATTCAATGTCTTCATGATAACATTACCTTTGCTGACATAATAACAATAAGAATTTTTAAGCAACTAATTAAATGTCAAGAAGGAATATTTTCAGCTCTGTATGGTCTTCCTATATAGTATAGTCAAGGCTCTTGATTTTTGTAATTAAAACCGTTTGTCTCACGACCGTCAGAAGAAATAGCAACAATGTAAAAAAGGCAAGCATATTAGTAAATGTGTCTCAAAAAAGTCAGCTTTTGTCCATGCAGCTCTTCAGAACATCAACTCTGCCAAGACATCTCAACAACTGTCAACACCTGCTATATTTTAATATTCTACTTGAGAATTGATACTCAAGATGTCCAGGTTGCATATGTGAGTCATTATTATATTCTATCTATTGTAATAGAAGTGTTTTTGTCTTCACTAGCTACAGTTCTTTCAATTACAAAAGTGTACTGCTATTACTATTAAATTAATTGAACACATAGCAAATGTTTTGCACAAATTTGAGCAGAGTTTAATAACTGAAAAGGCACCTTTGGGTATTTCTCTGTCTCCATTAGACAACATTCTGTACAATATGGCTCCTGATATTTGAGAAATGGGACTATTATCCCTGGGAAACTGTTCTGTCTCCAACACTAAAGTGGTCTCCTGACACTCAACTAAAATATTGTATTGTTCAGATTCATTTTTTTACTCCCACATATATTCTTCTAACATGCTCTAAACAATCTGACTCTACTCCATGAATGACAAGCCATATTCAAGCCAAAATGTCTTTTTCATCTTTCCTTTTTCACTATAACTTCCCTTCATTGCATTTCATTGTGTGGACACTTCCCTGACATGTCCCTAGAAAACATGAATGGAAGGAGAGAAAGGTCATTAAACAGGCTCTGAAAGATTTTATATTCCTAATGATTATTAGCATTCCTTGTATTTCAGATGTTGCTATCACACAGTAAACATCCTCTAACATAAATTCAGGGATCCTTTCCAGTAGTTGTAACAACACAGGAAGAATTACTACATCTGAAGGCCATTGAAGACATCCACACAGACAAAAAACCCGTCATCTGTCTTTTTGTCTGTCATGTCACTTAATCTTGTATTATGAGATTTGATAAATAAAATAAAAACCAGTGAAAACAATTTCAGAAATGGGATCCAAATAGAGGGACTCGAGCCTTGCTAATGTTTCCTTTTGTTGTCCACCCAATATCACTGTACCACATAGATATTTTTTGCCACTGCCATAGCTTGTTTTCTTTGTGAACTCAGAATAAAATATCAGGGGAAATGGGAACATTTTCTAACTTTCAAAATGCGTTTTCCTTTGTTCTTTTTGTTTTAATCAGACTTCATTCATCCCAATTCTATGATACAATATTTAAGCAGCTGCTTATTGTTTTGATTAATCGAATTAAATCAAGCAGAGTAACATTAAAATGTTGTCCTGAGTATACAATTTAGAGCAGAAAAACTTGATAGTGCTAGAGGGGAAAAAAAATCTCAACCTGTAAGAGCTGTAAGCCCAGTGTTACCCTCTCTCACAAATGGGTAGTCACACCAGATATACGTGATTATGAACCAAAGCAAGCCATTTCTTAATTTGTCTTCAGTTCTCTGTTTGAAAAATTCACTAACCGATGCAATTAGTCATCTAACTGTTCCCTAGGTCCATATGATATACTGCTTTCACCTAGGTAGGTGAAACCAATATATCATAAAGCATTTTTAAAGAATATGAAGGATGCCTTGAAAAAATAATAAATCAGCAACAGTGCTGACTTTAGAGACTCCTTTATTTCAATGTAATTTAGTTGTAGCTGTGATAGCTTTATATTCTTTGTTCTGGCCTCTCTTTCTTTTTCTTTTTTTTTTTGACTAACCAATTAATAATCAAATCATAATCAGAAATTATAGAATCAAAATCAGAGCAAGTCCTTCGGTAAGGTTCTGCCAATCTGTATGATCAGGTATGTTAATGTGGTATAAACCATCCCCTCCTATTACTCATTTGTACCTAACTTCAGACCTGAAGTCAAAGCAAAATTCTCTTCTGGTTACTGGCCAGATCTATTTTAAGATTGAATACTTTCCTGAAATTGCATACACATATCAGGTCTCTAAACTCTGAGATCTGTACATTTTGGCAGAACAAAACCATTTAATTATAAAAGTTGCAGTGAGCCTTGGCGGTAACCACTCTCTGTGGCGGTGCAGCACAGAGTCAGTGCAACACACACAGCCTGTGAGGTCAACAACAATTTCCTCTGTTAGAACAAATTGGGTGTGCCACTTGTACCCCAGCAGCACAGCAAAAGTGCAGAACTGATTCCTCAGGTGGATAAAGCTTCCATCCAATGAATTTAATTTTTACAGTGGTTCAAAAGCAATCTGCTTTAAATGAAAAAGTAACGCTGCAATATTGTGTTAAGGATCTGATTTGGCTCTCACCCATGCTTAGGTCAATCCGCGATTTCATGGGTCTCACAGCAAGGCAATATTACTCAAATATGTTGTAGACTATAACAAAAGGTCAGCAAAGAACAGAAAATCTGCTGTGTGTGCACCTACCTTGCTTTATTCACTTCAGCTTGACCTCCACACCTTGTATGTAAGGCAACCATTTTAACCGCTTTCCCTGGCGACTTTTACTCTTTTTAACCTTTTTCTCTCTTTTGTTTGTTAAGGTTTTTTTTAAGGACAAAAGGAAAGCTTCTCACAAACACACCTTACCTTCCCTCTTATCAGTGTGATATTGATCATAGGATTTGATCTGCCACAGAACAGACCTAAATTCTCTAAGAGCCTGTCAGCCATGCAGACCAGTACATTCTATCAAAATAACACTTTATGCTAAATTTAACATTAAATAATAATATTCAGCACATCAGAAGCTCTTTAGGTAGTTGAGAAGAAAACTTTATGATATGCTTCAGGAAACACAATTTAAATCCAGTGACATTGCCACAGTCAAAAAAAGTTTGTGTCAAATAGGAAGCAGAACAAGTATCATCTTCACCCTGATGGGTATGTTGTCAATAAACGCACTGTAACTAGATCTCAAATCTGGATCTGCACATGTGGATAACCCACACTGCTTTTCACAATTTCAAAAACAAAAATAAATTATTTTTTCATTATTTTCTTATTGTTAGGCTAGTTATAAGGCATACTTCCCCTATAAGGGAGGAGTTCACTACATATGTCATTTTTCATTTCATCAGGAAAAACCTCCTAGGACTTGTAAATAGCTGTGTTTTTAATAGCATCTGATAGCACCACGAGGCACAGACTAGGATCATGGCCAGTGAGAAGATAGAACCCATATGGTCCATTTATCAGCAAGATCATCATTAAGAACACCTTCTGCATTTTCACCACTCTGAAGCATATGAGATCTACAGAGGAATAACCAACCAGAGAAGTAAAATCAAACTTTGTATTTGAAGTTATGGCAACTGCTCTCTTCTGACTTCCACATATTCCATGTGAAAAAATCCCCGCAATGATGTGCTCAAAAGCAATACTTTGACATGACCATAGACAATCACTTCCACAGGGCTTTGGAAATACACCATAATGTCTTGCCCCCAATCCAACCTCTTCTCCATCCATTTCTGCTGCAGTATTTAATACAGGACAGCAGGATTTATACAGGGGCCTGTATGAATCAACAACAACAAAAGAAACCTTTCCAAAAAGTAATGATCTTGGCTCAACCCTGTGGTTATCAGAGTAATCCTCAGGGGAATAAGAAAGTCAAATTTAGAGAAAAGGAAGGCTTTTGCAAACAGAGAGAGAGAGAATATTAAGGGGAGATGAAAACAGAAAAGTGGAAAATAAGATAGCATGGAAACTTGCATTTGCTTTCACCCTCAGACTTTCCCAGTTCCTTTTGATTAACCATGCCAGGGAGACACTGCTTCTGCTTGCTTTTCTTTCAGAAATTCAAGCATTGCAATTCCACCAAGCTGATAAATTATGTAACAACATCAAAAATACACATTTTATTTTTTTAACTTTAGTAATATCTCTGCCTGAACTTTGTAGTAAAAGACCTAGGAGAAACTGTTTGTAGTTCATTTCTTGATCAAACAACCTGAAAAATGAGCCAAAGAGATTGGAGCAGCATTATAAAAACACAGAAATTATTAAGCTTTTGAACTTCACACACATCAGCTATCGAAAAAGAAAAATATATATGAGTAATAATAGGACTGTTAAAACAAGCAAAGAGATCTAAACGGACATTCAGTTTTTATTTTTATAAAAAAAGGTCAGATTTATTAGTGCCAATGTATGTTCATAGAAGGAAACAAAAACTAAGCTAATTTGAGTAGCAACTTACATCAAAGGATATCAAAATAATATTTCTTGTAAGTGAAACATAATACTTCATTTAAACTTGATTTTTGCAAACTAGAAGTCCTTGTTATCTGTCTATGAAGCCTTTAAAGAAAAGTTGCTACAGTCAAACAGGGTCCTGATAGAACTTGGCACATAAAGAAACAATTCCATATTCACCCATACAATACCTCTCACTCTCCTGGAGCACTCATTCATACAATACTTACATAATGCATATACATTATGACTAGAGCCATGTACGGCCTAAAGCACATAGAATATCTCAGTTCTAAATGTAACATATCTCTACATCAAAAGCAGGTCTCTGTATTTACAGCAGATGATCTCTCTCTGCAGATGGGGCTTTTGCTTGAAGATCCTTTTGTTAGTGTATGCTAAGATGCTCAAGATGTCAAATTATTTATCAAATTAGGAGTGTATCTACAGGAAGATCTGTCTGATTGTGTGCGAGGATTCTAAGGCAATAATAGTAGTTGTTCCACAGGAATAGCACTGCCGTTGCAACCCACTTTCCATCGGAGCAGTAAAGCCTTCCTTCTCCAGATGCAGCCAGGTATAGTGAGACATTCATGATCTGCAAACTGTTGGCTCAAAAGTCTAAAACTTCTTGGTTTGTTTTTTTTTTTGTTTTTTTTTTAATGTTCATGGAATAGCACCATAGAAATTCACACTTGATATCAAAAAGATCCTGGGTCTGTTGTTTCATTCTGCTTTTTTCACCATCAGGGATAGTCTTGCTCTTAGGAAAAAACCTAACAAAAACCTCTTTGGGAAACTTGTCTTTTGGACACTACTGCAGCCTCATTTCTGAGTAACTGAATCCAACAAATAGCTCATTCACAAAAAGGTCCAAAGAAATAAAGCTTAGCAGTGGTTTCAAATGTACTGCTGAAAAAAATTCAGTAGGAGGAGTTTCAGATGATCCTGGACCATTTGTCTTTTTCATGGATACAGATTTTGATTCAGGACAGGTTTTTATTTCAGTCTCTTTCTATATTCAGTGCAAAATAAGAGCACATCATCGGAGATAGCTTACTTAACCAGTAAACCAAATATTTTCAGATGCTTACACCATTAAAATTCAGTCAGCTAGTGATTGGTCACTAGTGATGACTGATGTAACAGTTCAGACTTCTCAGTCATTAGTTAAACAAAATACTCTATAGATCAGTTATGTTTCAGAAGTAGGATTTTCCAGTTTCAAAACACTGATAACCTGATATGGCAGGTGAATTTGTAAAAAATACAGAACAATACAGGAAGGCCTTCCCATTTTGTATCTTCTTCCAAGTCTTTGTACACACCGTACGCAGGATTCAAAGTCAAAGCAACTAGGTAGAAGGACAGTATTTGAGTGTGTGACCTAAAAGAGCTTCTTTTCCTTCTAGACACCATACAATTGTCAGAGAGAAGAACGATCTAGAGGGTCACTTCCCCTCAATGAAACTGATTGAATCCACACGCAGGGTTCTAGCAAATACTGGACCATGAACAAAAGCTTTTCTTTCTCCCTGCATGCCAAGTCCTTTCACAAGCTCTGCAGAGACAGTCAAGTATGGAGCCTGCACATCGTCCTCTTGACTATTCCACTGGGATAGGTGATTTTCTTCTTTTATTTTATTTCAGTCTCTGGTATTATAAGTCAGCATTTCAACTGAACTTATATTAATCATTTGTGCTAATAACTTCAGTTTTTAAAAAATTGACACGCCTTCCTTCCTTTCACTGTGTGTTCTTTGTTTCTCACTCTTTTTTTCTGGCATGGAGGTTCTTGTGTTATTTTTTGGTGTGCACGCTATCTGGATATTTTATACTTCTGTATCGTATATGAAATCCTTTCTTGTTGATTGTATCATCAGTGTGAAAGTGAAGTAGAAGAGATTCTCCTGCTGAATAAATTTCTTCTGGTGGCTAAAATAAATAAATAAAAAGAAAAAAATTATCTGTCCACTCTGTGTATTCATACACTATTTTTCTCCTTATTTCTCTTTTCCTGCTGCACTTCATCATGTAATTCCACTGTGTCTCATACAATGCCATCTGACATCATCAGACAGAACAGTTCTATCTCATTGTGCTCTCACTTATAGGCTAGAGGCAGACTGAGGAAATCCCTAACTCCTAGTTCTTCTCTAGTTCTGCTGGAGAAAGAAAGTGACTGGGCAGAACCATATATAATATTCTAAATTTGGATAAAAAAATAGAGGCCAATACCTATTTTCTATCTTATTCTTCACAGCCTTCACAATGTCCTATTTTATTACTGAAGCATATTTATCAGAAGTATCAGCTGAACTACCAAATCCTTCTTCTAAAGTTGAGAAGGTGGTAATAAGTACTAACATATATATTTTTCCCATTCCAGTTTGGATAATTTTGCATTTTATTTTCAATAGATTTTCTATTTAATTGTATCTATCCTATGTGGCATCTGAAACCATTCATTTACATCTTATCAGAACCAAACCACCACCAATGCGAAACCATTCCACCCCAAGCCCCCAAAAGAAGAAAATAATTCAGCCCATTTTCTGGTTTGCTGCCCTTCTGCTTGTAAAATACAGTAACAAAGAAAAATATTGTTTTGTGTGAATGAGTAGATTTTAGACTCAGTTGTAGCATTTCCCTTAGAATATATCCCCTACAGTTCAAGTGGAAGCACCTTTTGTGCATCATTAATTAGTGTTCAAAAAGGCACTAAAAGGATTTGAGCCAGTTTACAGGTAACTTGTCTGAGTGACTAAGATGTTTGATCTAGCTCAGAGGCTGAAAAAAGTGACACATAATTACTTAAGAGCTCCTGTCATCTTATATAGTCTTTGAAGCCTTTTATCTAGGCAAAGAGTCTATGTAAAAAAGTGTGCCTGCACTGGCACACATATAAAGAATTGATGAGGACTTGTGGGATCATTGCACCAGTTTTTCCAAGGCAGGCAGCCAGCAGACCAATGCAAGTCTAAAATGAGAAATAGGATACAGCCTTTTCAGGGTGTCCTCTCGCCAACTTCCTCCATGTCTTACAGTTAAAATGTGCCAGAATGCATATAGGATTTCATGGCTTTCTTAAGGCCCATATTAATCACCCAAGTTAGGAGCATATTTTTTTTCCTAAAATCAGACTTAAAAGTCAATGAGCATACTATAAATACTTCCCAGCTGCCCCTCCTACTTTAAAATGTGTATTCTTTCCAATTCAAAGAACTTTAATGTAATAATTTTCAACACTGCTGCATTTCCCTCTAATATAAGGAAAAAAAGTTGCTAACTTTTCTTTGTGTGCTGATAAACATGCCACTGCCAGCTTCTTAAATGTTAACTTAACACTATAATACTTTGGACAAAAAATACGTGAGAATTTATTAATGAAAATATTTTACTACTACTACAAGCCTGCAAATTTATCCATTAAAATATGAAGTAGACAATCTAGTACCTTTACTATAAGGTGTTGTAACTGAATTTCATGACCCTTACCTTCCTCTGCCTTGTCTTTCTCATTCTTTTTGTAGAAATGAAAAATAAAAAAAACGTTTCTACCTATTTACTTACCCCAGACCCACAAAATCGACCAAGTCTCACTGCTGTCTTATCATGACCATCAAAAAGCTCCACGTAGTCGTAGCCACAGTCTGCCTCTTCCTCAACCTCGAAAGTCTGGAACATCAACTCGACGCGGGCGCCGCGCTCGGCCACCAGCAGCCAGTCGCAGTCGGCCTGCACCGGGTAGTTGTTATCACCAAACTGAGCATATGAGTACAGGTCCTTGGGCTTCAGTTCAGCTTTCAAACGACCACCACACTCTAAATGGAGGGGGGAAAAAAAGATGAAGAAGTTTATTCAGTGCAAATTTGCGCTTTCTCTTCATAGATGCGCAGTCACATTCAGGCTGTGTGCAATTTAATGTCACAAGCAGGTTAATCAAACAAGCTGAGAGAGAAGTACTACACGGTATGATTAGAACTCCATAATTCCGAGTTTTCTTATATAAATTCTCTTTCATAACTAGAGAGACTTGAACATAGCTCATAATTTTCAATTGAAAGACAAAGACGGGGAACACCAAAGGAATGTGGCTTAAGCAGTACGACAGTTTTGAGTAGGCGCTGGAAAGATTCCTGTGGCCAGCAAAACAGTTGCTGTAAGGGTATCCACATTTCAGTGGTGGTGTTTCCGCAGGATTTAATGACACTGTTTGCAAGTGATAGGGGAGGATCAGATCCAGCACACTCATAGGCAGTGATTGAATGCAAAACTTTTTTGTTTCACATTAGGGTGAGCTTTAACCATAACATGGCACTTGGAGAGCCAGCTCAATACTAAACACCACTGCAAAGCTTGCTGCCTTGTTTGCTGTGCAGTTCATGAGCAGGCCTTTCTCTGTAAAAGAGTGGGTCAGGAGAAAGCTGCTGCTACCAGATAAAGTCTTGTATCTGAAAGGCTGTTCTTGAGGCAAGTCTTTGGCAGGAGATCCATGCCTTTTGTCAAAACCATTATTTTAGCATAAATGTCTATTTGTATGCGGTTGCAAAATGGATGTGGGGCTTAGAGCTTGTTTATAACTGTTCAAAGAGTTCAAAATTTAAATATGAATTAGCTCTAGTGTAAAGGTGAATAAGGTGCAAAACAAATAAGTAACAGTGTCATTAGAACTCAATGAAGAACAGATGAAAATTGTATTTAAGAAAAAAAAAACATTGTTTCCAATATGCATCATATTTCCAAAAGGTGGGTGCAGGCTTTGTTACTTTACATGTACAAAGATTTCAATGCAAACAGAATAATTTTGTTTTTGTTTCTCATCAGGAACAAATAATCTCTTACAGCACTTGATAAAAACATCAAGTGCAAATGAGCTTGAACAAAATACTGAGAATCACAAGTTTAGATTTAATTTTTATAAATAAATAGATAATTTTACCTGCATTTAAAAATATGTAGATATTATTGATTGATCATTTTAGAGTAACTTGAAACAAAGAGCAATATTCAAATCTTTCTAAGCTTTGGTGGAGACACTTTGAATTTTACTTCATGGACTCCACCCACGCTAAACATGACCAATTGCACTATTATATTGCAAGGACTCACATTTCAGCTAAGAGTTTATAACACTAATGACCAAATCCTTACTTTTTAAAAAGAGTGGTTTTTTTCTCAATAGGGTAATGAAGGAATAAAACCAGGAAATATAATTTATAAGTAATTCATTATGCATGAATATTTCATAATGATATTTCATTTTTTTTGCTCTTAAAGAGCAAATAGGAGCACATGATAAAACATTGGCAAGAAAGATACTTCAAACAGTTATTTCTCATTGATATTCTAATTTACTGATTTTTCTCCCTATTCTGAATTTCATTTGGGGTTTTTGTTGTTTTTTTGAGGAGTTTTGGGGTTTTTTTGTTGAGGGGAGAGGGGTTTTTTTTGGGTTTATTTTTTGTTTGACTGGACTCTTGCCAACATTAGGAACATCTCACTGCCTCAGACACCAAACAGCTGCAAACAAGACAACATTTAATGAACTGTCTGCATTCTTTCCCTCTGCTTGCTACAGAGGATAGACGCTTAAAGGAAAGTTGTAGCCATACAGCCACAGAAAATGGCAATTCCTCTTCCCCTGCCCTTCTCTCACAGATTATAGCCTCATAATTTAGAATAGAAGTTACAAGCCAAATTTTCAGGTTCTTAAGTATTAAGCTGTAGTTTCAGAAGCCTACACTTAGCCTGCCCAGCAAGGCTCTGCACTGGGACACAGGGACAGGCACAGAGCAGAGCTGTGCAGCACTGCCTGCTTAGCCTTGCTGCTGGAGCTGACCCACTGTGGTTTCCATTGTGCAGGCACAGCTGCCCTGCTGTAGGCAGGTGTTTGCTCCTGACTGCAAGGAATATGTCCAACTTGTAAAACCGTGGTTATCTGGTACCTTCAGTGAAAGACTCTAGATCATCTAAGGCACAAAAACCCTCTCATGTTTCATTACCTTTCTGGTGACTTTGAGGCTTCTTTCAAACATAAGAACAAATTGAGCAGAAGTTTCCTGATTGTTTAACAAGCCAGACAGTTGGGAAAAGCTTAAACCCACTCCATCTGAACTAATGAAACAAGATTATAAATTTGATTCAACACTCCTATACTGAATTACTATAGCTATTTTGGAAGCAACACAGGCATCTAAACTGAGTGACATCTGAGATATCCAGATTTGTTTGAGACATCCTCCCAGCACTGACAGATACGAATAGGACCTACAGTAGATCTGCAACCTCCTAGAGCAGTGGCTGGAAGCCAGGCACCATAAATGAAGCTGTCCAGAAGAGAACTAGATGCCTGAGTTAGGGCAGACAGATGACTCCCTGAGCAATGATGTTTAATGTTCTGTCAGGAGCATTTTTATGAATTCCTCTTGGATAGGTTTTGCCTTTTCTGAGAGGGGAAAATATGACAGAATCTCCTTCTAAAACTGTGTTGCACTTTCAAAACAGCATTTTATAAGTTTTGCTCCACCCAAGGAAGCCTTTCTAGCCAGTTTATTTTTAAAGCTTTACTGTATTTGCTGCTACTTTTTTATCCTGTTTTCTGAAATAGTAAATGGAAATTTTTAAATCAGATAGCACATCAAGCCAAAAAGTATCATAGAAGGGAAATCATCGACAGCATCCACTGGAATAATAAGGGGCCATTAAATGATGAAGATGCCAGGAATGCAGCAGCAGAGACAGCTCTGGGCACAGAATCCAGCTACTCATTCACTGCTGTTGTGTTACAGCAGTACTTTGAGTGAGTGAGTTTTGCTAACACGTTAGAAGTGACAGGAGCAGCTTCCCCAGCATTCCCTGTCTGTCTGCACAGGTATACAGGATCAAACACAACCTTGTCTGCTCCCATTGCACGCCATCAACCATTTTCTCCCAGACAAGATGAACGAAGGGAATACAGTCCTCTGCCCATGCACTTATTAGGTATCTGCTCATTCACATGTGGCCACAGCACAGGGGTAAAATTCTCACAGAGTTCTCACAGAGTCTGTGTTTGGCTCAAGGCTGGAGGAGGAGAGTGTGGACCTGAGCTGTCCCTCATTCAAACACTATCTCCAGGTACATGCCAGAGATGAGGGGTCATGTCTGTGCAACAGCCACTGACAGAAATAAATGCCCTCTCTTAAGGAGGCAAACTTGGTAGTTTTTTATAGCATTCTTAAAATCTGGGTAGATTTTATTTTTCTCAGTTTCTCAGAAAAGCACATGCTTGTCCATGCTATAAACGTTTTTATATTTAAGGCACATAAAATTCGGCAGGTCATACCAAGACTTGCAATCTTTAGAATGCAGGGAGTGTACATCTGAACTTTGTTCACATACTGATTGCTTCAGTTCTGCAAACTGAAAGTGAGGACAATAAATGAAACAGCAGTTTTACCATACCTGATCTAGCAAGAGTTCTGACCTTTAATTATATACCCTAAGGTAATTAAAAATGGGTAATTATTACTTCTATCAAAATTTTCATCTAAGGGAAAATGTTACTGTAGTAGGGAAAGCAAAACATTGCATGCTTGTAAAACAGGATTTTTCACAAGGAAAACAAACTGAGTTACAGGTAGCTAAACTGTTCACTTTCAAGGCCCAGAGCATAAAGATTTCATATACTGTTGTCTACTGTCTTTCTCAGAAAGGGAAATTAAATTACTAAAGATTTTGAATTATTCCGAACAAATCAAAAGGAAAAACAAGACAAAATGCCAGCACTGATATATATGAGGATTTTTTAGCTGAGCATTACACATCAACTTGATGGATATTTTGGGTAATATCATATTACACTAACCTTGTAATATTGCAATTACATTATTATATATTATATAGATAATATATTATTAATATAATTATATGTATCTATAATAAATAATATTATATTTTATGTAATATATATCATTATATATTATTATATTTTATTACAATGTAATAAAACTCACTACCTTTATAATTCTATTCACAACTATTGCCTGTCATTAAAACTTATTTCCTAGAAGATATATTTATGAACTATTTTCTGAATTATTCATTTCCTGGATAAATAAGAATGAACTCTGGAAAGTAAAGACAGACATTATAATTGAAGATTAAAATAAACGTCAAAATGCCCCAAATCCCCTTGTTTTACTGCAGGCACTGGATGTTCAGAGGTTCAGCACTAGAGGCCACTGTAAGCCAAGCAACATCAGGGGAAAAATGTTTACACTGAAAATGTCCCAAAAACTCTATAAATGCAATTACAAACCACTGTTTCCAACTTCAATGACTTCTGCCAAACAAGAAAATTGAATGGTAAATATTATATTATACATTATATTCTAAAGGTCCTAAAAAGTCTTTAATGTTGTTTTTTCCTTATTCTTCTTTGGTTTGTCTTTCCTTTTAAGCACTACAGGAAAGAAATATCTGTTTATATGAAACCCAGATTTTTGTTTAAGTTAGAGCAGGAAAGTAATGGAGGTGCATCACATGTCTCAGTTAAGTGTTGTCATTACAAATGCAGTGAAAAGATATTCAATATTTTATGATCTCAAGTCATGAATCCTGAGGAACCTCATTTCTTATTTGACTCTGTTTCAACACCTTTTAATTTCTCACCTATGAGGGAAAGAGAGATAGGGGAGAAAGGAATATCTAAAATATTAGAGAATACTTTCTGCAATCTCAGACTTTTCCTACTGGGTTTAAGGCCTCATTAGATACAGCTGTCACATCTGCGAATTCATCCCACTCCTACAAAAAAAAAAAAAAAAAAAAAAAGAAGTCTGCATATCTACCACTAAAGAACAATGGGTAAGTTATTAGTAAAAAGCACACCCTGATCTCTGACCTGTAGAGTGAGTTGCTTGGAAGCCTTTTCTTTGAACTGAAGCATCAGAAATAAAGCGGAGGAACATTTTGTTTCCAGTAGCAATGAGAGGATCTGGTATTTTATTGCCACATAAGCGTCCCAGGATTGGCGATTTTTCACTTTCACCATCAAACACTTCCAAGTGGTCATAAGCACATTCTTGATGTTGCTCTATTTCAAATTCATTGAATGTCTAGGGGAAAGAAAAGCAAAATTACACATTGTGGGACTGTATTTTCACGGTACATACTTATATATGTTAACATGTTGTAGAATACAAGGAAGCAGTAAAAATGACAGATTTAACATTACTGCTTCTACAAGCCCGTAGAGTTGAATAACATATTGATCTTATTGAAGTTTTATTGGAAAAAAAATTAAGACACTGAACTTCAAGAGTGCATCATCCTTCATACAGAAAGGGATTAGCATCTTTATAACAACTACTACCTATAACAGAATATTAAATCTAGAATACTACTGCCTTTCTGCTAAATTTGCACTGTTTTTAGGATTATTCCAAATTTCACAGAGCATTCAAAACAGCAAAAAGTCAGAAATTACTATTCTTTGCATTGTTGAGGATTGATTGAAACATCTGCAAAGCATAATGGGTCCCCCCCCCCGCCCTTTTCTAAAACCTACATCACACTGCAACTAAAGCCTCTGAGAATGACTTTTCCACATGAAGTTTTATGGATGAAAGTTGTATTTTCTAATCTATTATTTAGAAATTTTTTTTCCTATTCTTACAACTTAATGATGTTTCAGGCTTCACCCTTCATGCTAAGGTCACATTTTTACTAGCAAAAGCATTGTGAGAAACAACAAAATTGTGTTAATTGTTTGTTGGAACAAACTTCAGGCATTTCCAAAAAGTGTATGCCATGCCTGACAGAAACTGTTAACACACATACAACTAATACCCACATTTCAGATCTGGAAGACTATCTTCCAAGACTAGAATGATATAAACGAAGTTATTTCAAGGGGACATCTAAGATTTTTCAGATAAGACTTTTTGACCAGGGCTAAATTTCAACAACCCCAAAGCTTAATATCTGGTAATTTCTCCTCATGTAAACAGTGTGAAGGCAATATACATCTTTGTGAATTTTGTATGGAGTAAGCAACAATTTAAAGTGGAATTCAAAATATATTTTGTTCAACAAAACAGCATAAAACCACCAAGTACACATGCTTTCATGAGCAGTCATGTAGCTGATTGTTTATGAAAATAAACCCCAGAAGGCCCCAAAGAAAACCCCATAACCCAAACAGAATAGAATTAAGAAAAGGAATAAAACTGAACTATCAAATACCAAGCAAATATCACAATTAAGCATTCTGTCTGGTACACCAAAACAAATCTGACCTACCAAATCACTTGTGGAACCCTGAGAGTGTGAAATGCAATGGTAATTTATATTGAAAGCTGACCTAAAGAGATAACACAATTTTTTTTTCCCCCAGAGAACGTGAATACTCAGAATAGCGCTTATTTTATGTGAAGAACTGTGTGATGCAGCGAATGCAGGTTCATTTAATGGTGAAAGTTTGGGGTTTACATTACGGGATTAAAACTGCAGAGGCAATGAAAACAGCCGTACAGCCGTCACTCCTGCTGCTCTTAAATTGTGGTCAGCCATCCTACTTTTATGATGCCAACTATGTGTTGTCATTCATACCAAAACAAAATCTGATGGATTAAGAAAACCCCAGAAAGCTGAGAGACTGTGTCTCGGTAACGGAGTTACTTAAACACAGTGTTGAATCAAGCCAACTTGGAATCTATGGGAGCAATAGGCATGATCCAAGAGCAGCCTGCAGAAATTCATTTTTTTAGAGGAAAATTAGATCTGTTTTGTTCACTTCTCACCAGCATGAAAAAACCCCCAACAAAACCAACCCTCTCCAGGAAGTATATCTCAATATGAACTGCAAGGCACACCTATTATTTTTAATCTTTGACTTCTCACTGGGATTCCCAAGCCTGCAGAAGCAAAGTACATGTTTTATTGGGTCACTCAAACATGGCCAGAAAAAGTCCTAAATCTTTTGTGGCTATAGCAATCTATTCTAGCAATTCCAAAGAGAATGCAAAGAAAACTTGCTTTTTAAAGGAAAATCTGATCTTAATGCGCATAGTCCTTTAAAATCAAAAAATGTCTGATATTTTAAAATACCAAAAGACAGTCTAAGTTTTTTAAAGGTCAGCCAGTTCCTTGAAGGTTTGAAAGAGGAGAACTGACATAAACTTCCCTTAACCAAAACTGAATAGTTGTTGCCAACAGAGTTCACAAATAATCTAATTAAGTTTGTAGTATAATTAAATCACACCCTCTCTTCCTGGGACAAATACTTTTGAATTCCTACTCCACCATGACTATTTTAACTCCATGTGATATGTCTCCTTAGTGGGAATGGTACTCAGAAATGTTACATATAGCTTCTGACCATCCAGCCCTTTCTATCTGCAGCACTCAACCAAGTAGATACGTTGGTGGCACTTATGGACAGCTGCCTGGAGGGGACACTTAAGTCTGTCTCTTACAAACATCCGGCTGATTAGCTCATGGAAATCAGTCTCTCTGCTATGCACATTTTCAAAGCCATCTTTATCTACATGCTTCATTTAAAAGTTCTGAAGTGCATACCCTTTTTTTTCATAGGCCTTTTAATTGCACCAAATACTTGAATTTAGCCCTTTCAGGAAGACTTTTCAATGGTTAGCAGAGTGAGGGCAATCACAATAAAAGATTAGTTTCCATACATACACCCCATCTTGAAAAAGAAAGCACAGCCTCACAATTCTTGTGGTTTGTTATCATGAAGTAATCAATCCACTTTATCAATTTGAACAAGAAAACTATGAAAAGTAAACTTAAACACTGTGTGAAAGAAAAACTAATCATCCAATGTGGAATTATGGTGTTAATATTATTGACATGGGACCTTGCTGTACTGCACAACTTAAAGATATTGAACACACAGAATTTAGTAACTGACCCTACTGGTTTGCACAGAAGAGCAGATCTCAGACCCTAAGTCATGGAGTTGAAAATTCCATTGTTGAATTGTTCTGTTGAATTCAAGTAATTCTGTTGAATTGTTTTCTGTTGAAAATTCTATCTAGTAAAATTCTGTATATTTTTGCAGTTCCATTGGTAAAAGCCAATTTAAAATACCTTTTATTTCTAAAGTAGACCATGGAATATTTGGCTGAAGATATCGGAATGTTGGAATTTTGCCTGCTGTGGGTATAAGAATTGGAAAACCTTTTACAGTAACATGCCTATACCTGGCTGGCTTTAGTTTATTCAGCCAGTACCAAGAACACTTGCTCAGAAGCAGCAGTAAGAAGGCTGCTTGATTTAGAAACCTATTTTTTAACCCTTGGAATGGACAGAGCATGCACATCACTCATTCTCCACCACCACCATGCCTTTCAGTACAGTTCAACTGTTTTACTTTTGGCAAACAAGGATCAATACACAATCCCATATCAGCACCATTAATAGGAGTGGTTTAATCCCAGGCAGCAGCCAAGCCCCACACAGCTGTTTGCTCACTGCCCCGCCAGTAGGACTGGAGAGAGAATTGGAAAGATGAAAGATAGAATACTTGTGGGCTGAGATGAAGACATTTTTATAGGAAAAGCAAAAGCAGCTCACACAAGTAAAGCAAAATAAGGAATGAATTTGCTGCTTCCCATGAGCAGGCAGGAGTTCAGCCATCACAAGCGCTCCACCACCACTCCAAATACCATCCCCTTCCTCCTTCTTCCCCCAGTTTGATATCCTGATCATGACGTCTATGGTCTGGAATATCCCTGTGGTCAGTTTGGGCCACCTGTCCTGGCTGTGTCTCCCCCCAGCTTTCTCTGCAACCCCAGCTTCCTTGCCACCAGAAAAAGCCTTGGTTCTGTGTAAGCCCTGCTTAGCAATAGCAAAAACATCTCTGTATTATCAACATTGTTCAGCACAAATCCAAACCACAGGCCCATACCAGCCACTGTGAACAAAATTAATTCTACCCCAGCCAAAACCAGGACAAGGGGTTAGGATTTGCTAAGGTCAGCAGTTATGAGATTGGAATACACTCTTCATCCCTGCGCAAGTACTGCCTATTGCTTCTACCTCTGAAACAGAGATATCTCTCTCCTTAACTTTATGTGCTCCAAAAGAGTTGAAAAATCAATTTAAGAAGTTTAAATATATGTAACGTCAGCTTTTGTTACAGCTGTCCTGCAAGTAAGCTGCAGAAGACATGCTGGGGCTGAGCTCAAAGCAAAAACCCTATTGGCAAGACTGTGCCTTTGGCCTCATACAGAGGCCACATAACCTCAGTAAACCTGCAAAGCCATCTAAGCTCTCCTAGGCCTGTCTTTGGACACCAGCACTGCCCTCAGCCAGCTGGACACAGAATTCACAAATCTACTCCAGCCTGCTCTTCTACTTATGTTAAAATTTGAAACCACTTTAAAATGAGAAATCCAGATTCTCAGGGTTTTTGCATCTTTTTTCCTTCTCAAAAAGACAGAACAGGAAAAGGTATGTGTAGAGGACTGCTCATAACTCAAAATTTTGCTTTTTCTATATATTGGAATTTGTGTAAATGGCTTCTGCCATATTTGCAAAAACTTTGCACAAGTTTTATGAGTTGCAACAATGATATAGTAAAGTCTGACAGGAGGAAAGCGTTCCTCCTGCCTTTGCTGTAGAGAGTATTTCCAATCACTATAAACTTAAATCACAACTCTATGATATTGAGTAGTCCCTGTTGGCCAGAAATGGACAGGATTCAGCAAGTTTTTAAAATAGTTTGCCTCTGGGATGCAAACTGACAGTAAAGTCTAGTAAGTTTCATATCATTGAACAGTCATTTGAGAAGCTGACTTGATGGAAGAAAAGCTGAAAAGGAAGGGAAAGCAGAGACTCACCAGTTTGACCCTCTGGCCAGGGGTGGCACTGATTTCCCATGTGCACTCCTTCCTGCTGGGATACTTGTCAGGCCAGTTGGGACTCGTGATGATGCCGTTGGGACTGTGGATCTTCTGCTCACACTCAGCTGTGCCAATAGGGATAGCAGCAGTTAGTCTGGGGGTCAGCATTCAGAAGTAGTCAACAAAGGACTATTTTTTGTCAGGGCAGCCACCAAGTGGAAAGGATTTTTAAGAAGATAGGTAAGCATGCATTTCAGAGTGCACAGTATTCCCCTCAGGCAAGTGCTTTAGAGCATTAACCCAGCACGTTTCTTTATGGATTGTTGTGAAACATACACTGCTGTTTACAATGGATGGCTTTTTTTCAGAAGAAGTCTTATTTAGCAGTAAACATAAGATAAATATAAAGTACTTTCCCATTCCCCCCACCCTACATGCAAGTAAGTGTGTAAATCCATATGAAAATCTCACTACTCCAACTTCAAAAGAAATTTCTCAAACAATTTATTTTTTCTCTTATTGGTAATTTTCACTGCAGCTACAGAGCAATCAATTTGATTTGTAAACCACAGCTCCTAGGTAAATATATACACAATGCGAGAACAGCTAAGACTAAACTCTAAGTATGTACAAAGAGCAGCTTAGTCACAGAATTTGCAACTAAGCCACTAGCACCCAGAACTAAAAGAAGGCATTTTTGTATTTACTTTTAGCAATCTCAATCTGCTTTCTAAATATCAGAGAATTCTTTGAAAAGAAAAAAAAAACCTTTAAGAGTAGGCAACCAAAACCAGTGAAAAGGCAAATAATTCACAAAGGGCATGTCTTTGCTCTCAGATTAAATCCATGCTAGAAAACATTGAGACATTACAGCAGCTCTCATTATATTGGACACTTGAGGTTCATTTGCAGAAAATTTAAATTCTACTTAAGTCCCAAAGCCTATTGTTTTCTTGAAGGTAGCCACCTTGAGAGAGACAAAGGAAGAAAGATGTTCAGGGCTTTGCTGCAGGGTAGATTGTCTGAATCTGTTGCCTAAAACAAACCCAGAAAGAGTAGATATGGTTTCAACCTGGCTGTGAGGAAACTAACTGCTACTGATAGCAGCTAATCACAACTTTACCAGGCTTCTCTCCAGAAACTCTACCCCTGTGTTTAATACAGCCTTAGATAAATACTTTATCAGAGCTTTACATAATCTACTCTTCATAGAACTATTGAAAGTAGCACTCTGTGCCAACGATCCCAAGTTTTCCAAACTTCCTTTCTGTGAACCTCAAACTCAGCCCACACAAAGGCTGGGAAGGAGGGGATGGGAAAGGGGAGGGATGTTGTTGTGTTTAAGCCCAAATGTCTAAAACCCCATTAGCAAGAACTTCTTTTCCTTTCTTTTGTTTGAAAGGAGAGCTGCAGAAAGCTTTCTGCGAGACAGTTGTATAACCAACCACTTCACTGCCTTCTGCTCACCTTCCTTGCAGTCATGTTTATTTTCGTGTAGCACGAATCCGTTCCGGCACTGGCAGACGTAGCTTCCCACTGTGTTGATGCACTCGTGCTGGCAGCCCCCGTTGTCCTTGGAACACTCATCCTTGTCTACAAAACACACAACAAGCCCAGGTGAGCACATGGCTCCCAGCAGACCTTGCTACCAAGAGGAGCACGGAGCCTGGGGCCAGAGCAGGATAAGCTGCAGCACAGTCACTCTTCCCAGTGAGGCACTTGTGTGGTGCCATAGTTTTAGGTCACTCTTTGCTCAGCCTGCAGCCTTGCACTGTGGCACAAAGAGTCTGTCTCATCTCTCTTGCAATTGAGCATTAGTTCCTAAGGGAGAAGAACACTAGTAAAAAACCAAGTTAGAACAAAGGAGGTAAGAGATTTACCAGCTTTTACTCTTTCAACTGATCTAGCTGGTAAAAGTTTCATAAATATCCAGTTTTATCTTAGTAAACAATGGTAGTGTAGTTTAAGGACAACACATATTATTCCAGCTTTGTGCAAATTCCATTTGCACAAATTTAATAGTGTTATCTTGAAAGGAACACATAGATCAAAAACACTTCAACTTCTACACATTAAACATGTAAGAAGAGAAAGATTTCACATAGGCTTTTCTAATAAGTTGGGCTTTTTCCCCCAGCAGAGTGACAGTGTGCTTTACTTTTAATGAAGCTGGACATTATAGACCATCACAAAAAGAAAAAGAATTTGGCATTAGTTAGTTCAAGAGCTACAATGTAGCATGCAGTTCTCTTTATTAACATATAATCCTTCAAAAGAGCTTTTAGTGTGTTAGAAATAAAGCAGAGAGTAGTGGAGGAAATATGACCTGCATTAAACAGCTACAAATTCATTGCATGGAAAAAAGCCAAACTAGATTAACAGGCTGTCATAGTAGCAAGAGGCCTCTGCTGCCATGCTTCTATGTCATTCAGCTGCTCTTGCTTTAGGTGAGGCTGGTCCCTTTAAAAGAGGCAGACTGCTCCTGACATGTGTATACACATACATGCATATATGTGTGCACATCTATATAACTATACATGTACACCCACACACATATGTATACATTCTTAGAGATATATATATATATATATGTATATAAACACAGACATATTAAACCTCCTCTGTATTTTACTAAATGTGCCATTTCAACATGCAAAAGAGAGGAGGAAACAGAGCAAAGGAATTTTGGTCATCCCAGAGGTCTGGTTGTTGTGGGTTGGAATGCAGACCATTTAACCCCTACAGTCTTATTTACCTTGGAAAGCAACAGTTAACATTATGTCCAAACAAGGCAATGTGATATTTCACACTTTACCAGGTATGGCAAGAATTTCTATAGATTAGAAGCCACCATGGATGATTTAAGTCTCTTTTCATTGTCTTACTCATGCATTTTTTTCCATGCCTTTTCTGATGCTCATACTCAGTAACACAACAAAGGAAGTTTGCATTGTAATTGCATACACATCATCTTCCTCTGCCAAAATGTTTTTCAGCACTTGACCTGTTGACTTGCAGGTCTTTCCATAAAAATCAGCTTCCATTTATAATACAAGATGATAATGTGCATTTATAGGTAAATTCTGCAAGTCAAACCCAAGCATCCACTGCATTTTGTACTGTAATTCTCAAATCTGTTTGCACTGAAAGTTTTTGGAAGCTTTCTGCAAATGTGAACATATCTGAAGGTTAAGAAAGAGCTGAAAACATAGATACCTTGTTGTAGTGTGTTTGTTAGACACTACTTGTCATTTTGATGATGAAAGGAAGCACAGGAGCTCCACAATACACTGCTTATGCACCTTGCAAAGCAAGTCCCTAACTGAGGGGGCAATTCTATGCAATGTCAAATCAAAGTCATAATTTTGCAAAAGCAAGCACTACACACTTCACTTCACATCGCAAGTGAAGAACAGTAGCAATCAACTGAGAAATTAGAACTATTATGAACAAAATTCTTCAATATTTCCCTCCTAAGCATTAGTTTGAAATTTTCCACCAGAATAACAAAAGGAAAGGAAGGCAAGATCAAAATGCATTCAAGTTAGGCTTTCAAGTACAGAGTAGGTACACAAATTCTAAATAAATAAAAGCCCTGACCATTTTCATCATCCACCAAACTCTATGAAAACATTGAAAAGTATTTTAACATTAGATATGCTTATATTCTGCAAAATAATCTCTTGAGAGATAAGTGCATAAGCAAATAGTCCCACGTTGGATGTCCTCAGAAATAAAATAATGGACAGAAGGTACAAAGGAGAAGTTTTGGAACACATTTGAGCTACAATAATTACTTGTACATAGTTAATCAAGGATGCAACTGTTGAACAAGCCTTCCTCACACTTCATAACTGAGAACACACTTTCTGTCAAATTGATTGCCCAGTTTAAAAATTTGTGAAAAAAACCCCCAACAATTAGTCTGTATTAGTTAGGAGAACAAATGTTTTGCCATGTAAAAACAAAGCCATTTGTTATGCTGACAGATGGAAATGAGTACCCCCAATTTTAAATGGATACTTTCTTTTATTTTCTTTTTTCAGTACACAGCAGAAGGAAAGATCCATTCTCAAGAAAATAATAGATTGAATGATTCTGAGGACAAATGGTCGTACCTCTGAGACCCTCAGAGGCCACCAGTCTGTGAATAATATGTACTCGGCCTGAAGGGACCTGCACCAAGTCCTTGCAAGATTCAAAAATAAAAATTTTCTCTTTGCAGGCAGCTTTCTTGTCTGTGGAAAAAAATGTACCAGGATGGAACCAGAGATGACTTTTTGTTCAAGGCTAGAAACAGTCTAGCTTTCTCTTTTTAACTGCTCAATGAATCACCACCAAGAAGATAAACCTCATTTTTACATTATATAAAAACCCATGTAATTTTGAATGTTATGCAGAGAATCACTCATGTTTACTTAAAACACTAAAGTAACTCTGAAACCTATGATAAATGGAAGCAGTTTAATGACAAACTACGACTAATCCTCAGGTCATCTTTTCAGAAAGATCACAGAAAAAAAGGGTATTTAAATATATATACATATATATATATATATATATATATATAATTGTTATATTTTTGAAATTATTTAACACTTCTCTAGTCTTACAGGCCCAGTAGGGTGTGCTGAGTCCTGCCTGCAAGGACTTACTCCAAGGCCTTGGTCTTATAACAAAAGCGGGAGACAGAGGAGGACATAAGAAAGACAGAGGGAAAAGAATAAAAAACTTATTATTGGAAGTTTTTCATTTAGAAGTCTAATATCCAATTCCAAGAAATTTTATTAAAAGTTTTTCTTTTAAATAATATATAGTGACCCCCAGTTTCCTCTCTTTATCTGAGAAACTTGATTATAAATATACATTAGAGTCTCCATAGTTCAGCTAGTATCCTGCAGAGACTCCTAACTGAGCTTTCTTCAGAACTGTCCCATCAAATGTAAATTTTCCAGAATGCTGAAAAAAAAAATTCTCACTTTCCAGTAGCACCTGTCTGGCTGTTAGCACTATTTTACAGCCAAAAATATAATTACATGTTGTCTTGTATCAACATAAATACCTTCCTAATGCAGGTCATCTGTTGCCCTATGTCACTGTTTGCTTTCACAGTTTATCACAGCAGGTTTCAACCACCCAAAAACTGCTTTCTGTCGTCTGAGCTGGAGCTGGGCCATGCTTCCTCATCTCTAGCTGTGGTGCAGAATTCACCACCAAGAGTTGCGGAAGAAAAGAGTAGTTCTTTGGCTGTGCTTAGGGAACATTTTTCAGTTCCTAATCTTCACATTAATTTAACTTATCCACCTTTCTATATTGCTAAGCATTGCATATGGCCTTTACTGGTGAAAAGAGTGCAAGATGCAGTGTTTTACTCATTACATTTTTTGTCATTATTTATGTCTTTATAACTAAGTGCTTCACATCTATTGTGATTCAATTAATAAAAATGGTAAATGTCTGCAATCAAGTGTCAAAGTATTTCTACTCAGATATCATTCAAAAATTGTTGTAGTCTGAAGTTTAATATACATATAAACAGGCAAAAAACAGCACTTCATCAGCTGAAAAATTCTGCCATCAACTCCCAAAAGTCAAAATACTTGAAGTCTCAAGTCTGTTCTTTATTGGCAGATGAATAGCATATTATGCCCATATAAAGTAATTCAGGGACAAGAAAGTAACAGTGTTTTCTGACAGACCTAAGATGTCTGGTTAATTATTTGGAGATGGCATCTTCTTTTTAGATACTTTAAGTTCAGAAGTTTCATTTTTCTCAAGCATTACAAAATTTCTGTTTTAATCAGAAAGCCTAGTCAAACAATGAAAGTCAGATGACATAGAAGAATGGAATCTGCTAGAAATTTGAACAAATGGAAGACAGTTCAGAAAAAATAAAAATAAAAATAAAATATTCATATTATATTCAGATATTTGAAATCATATGAAATGTTGGCAGGAATGTGTTATGAAGCACTCAGTAAATTGACATACTTAGAGATTCAAAGGCTTTTTATAACAAACTATTTTTTTAATGGGATTAGATATATATAATATCTAGGACACATAACACATTTCTATTTATTGAAAAATACATTAGTTCAAACTTATCCCTGACTAAAGAATTATTCTGTGATCAATGACATCACTTAAAAATTTCTTTTTGAAATTACCTTGTGAGGGAATGATAAGAACAGTTCTGTCAGAACTGAAATATACAAGGGAAAATTAGTTCAGAATAATTACAACCTGATGCTTTGTAATCCATGACCCTCAGTCTAGTCTTTCCCCAAGATATCGCATTGGTGGAACCCACTCATTTAAAGAAAGTCACTTGAGCAAAAGAAATAAATTCATATGTGAAGATAAACTACTACTTTAATGAAAACCAAAATTTAACTGACTATAGATGTATAAATGACCAGGATGTCCAGGAAACACAACTTCTGAACCATGGAGCTTATATAAATTACTGCACTATCATTGCTAGTCTTATCTGAAGTATCTGTAAGATCCTAAAAAGATTCAACAAACTTCATTTGCAGTCTTTAGAACTTGAACATGTCAATATATATTCCTGTAAAAAGACAATGTGACAATTCCTGCTGGCACAACTAGACCAACAGAAAATGACTAGCTGCGTGCTTCTAGGAGGAAGCTCTGTTGTGTGCACATATGTATTTACTACAAATAATGAGTAAACCTTGAATGCTTCTTGCTTATGTAAATCATAAATTTAAAAGTAGATAGTGTTACTAAAAGTAAAGATGTATCTTTGGAACATTATGACCAGAGAAATGTGGTTACTAGGAAAGAGATATACTTAAAAGAGATCAAATCTTTTTTATGTCTTTGTATGAGACAAAACTCCTCTTTCCATATTTCATAGTTGCTTAATAAAAGCATCAAAATAGTCATAATAAGAAAACACTGAAAATCTAAACTTTTTGCCTTGGTAGATATTTTTTCATTTTTCAAACCATATTCCTTACACATTCTACAGATTCTCATTAGTCATTCTCAGCAGTCATCAATGAAAAACCATTTCATTTCAGTTTTGATAAAATATTTTAGCAAGTAAATGCTAATAATGGTAGTATATTTTACTACATGCTAAGTAAAGAATAATCAGGATTCTCCAGGTTCAGAATTTTCACTGCTATAAAAAAAATATGGAGTACAATTCAATTCCCAGATTCTTCTGTTTGACATCTGGTTTAGGGAGGTGGGCAGATGGAACTGGTGTTTTCTGTTGTTTTTTGTTGTTTTACACAAGGTAAGTTACCTATCCCTATGTGTGTGTGTAAACAGGCAGGAAAAACACAAAGCAAACTGTTGCTACAAACACCGAGTGGTCTCCTGCCAGAGCCAGATTTCTATATTCCACACTCAATGGGTAATTGCAGAGGCCACTGTTGAGCAAATATTTCCTCACATCTTAAGCTTCACTTATGTGTAACTTTATTCAACAGTGTAAGTCCTCATACGATATAAACTTCCACCGCTCTGATCTCCCTCAGTAAAATTACACTCATAAATAAAACGACACAGGTTTTTTTTGCAAGATCAAGATCTTAAACCCTGTTCCTCTGCAAAACATTAAGAAGTGCAAAGTTTGGCACAGATGTAGCCATAATGTTAAACAAATGTTGTACCACAAAGTGGTAATTTCCCAACAAATGGAATATATTAAGAGACTTGAGTAGAAAAAATACAAGAGTACACAGTGTGCAATTCGTATCACTTTACAACTGGGATTTGAAAAAAACAGCAACAAAACTTGGGATAAAAGAAATCTCATAAAACATAGAAATACAGTAAATTTTCTTTTGTCCTCTGTATCTCACAAAGTTTTCTTGCTTCTGCTGTTACTTAAGTACATATAGATATGTTCAATATATTTTCTACAGACGTTACAATTCAGAATGATATTTTAAGACAGGAGAGTGGTGTATGTTTATGTAAATAATACTAATTCAAAGCTACCAGGAAAACCATAAGCAAAGAAGTCACTCATTTTCATACAAAAATTGTGGTCACTCCACCCAGTCAGTGGACTCCCAGAGGCACTGACAGGTATATGAGGGTACTGCTCCATACCTGAGAAGAAGTGTGCCTTGAAGCCTTTTTTTGAGACAGTGTTGTCAGAGCGAAACTCGATGCGCATGTTGTTGTACTGAGAGGTGATAACTTCAGGCACTTCTGAACCGCAGAATTTACCGTGCAGCTTGGAATCAGAAGAAAGGCCACTGCGAACCTCCACGTAATCATACTTGCAAACCTGAGAAAAGAATGAAAGAAAAAATATTTGGCTAATCAAAATAAAAGCATGAAGCTGTTCATGAATGCCAGAATTCTGATGGGTATGTATATTACTGCTGAATAATAAATGACCAATATCCTTCTTCACTTTCTCCTGATTCTGAAAGCATTTTAAATTGTTACATTTGCTAATTATAGGTAAGAATGTTTTAAGGTCACTAACACATAGCTCTACTATGAATTGTGTTCCAAATTATATTTTTATAGATGTTGACCCATGTTTAATATCTAAATTTCAAGATACTTAAAGCATTTCCACTTCATTTCAAAAGCAAATATTCCATTGACAGCAAACTAAAATCTAGAAATGTTGATGCTAAAAATTACACCTCTCTGTGTGCTATAAACCACATACCCCAAACCTACAAATCTTATACTATTTGCATTTTGAAGATGTTTTTAAATATTAATTTTCACCTAGAAACTTACAAGGTAAGTTTTCATCATTACATATTTAAGATATATTCATTTATTTCCAAATATAGAACTTTCCACTATTAAATCCATGCAACTTTCACCAACAGTAGCATAGCTACAATTTGGAACATGATGCATGCCATTTTTATTAAAAGATCAGAAATAAAGTAATATAATGTAATAAAAAAAAAGCCTTATGCAAGGTCTAGTTCTAATGATAATACTTTCAATACATAATCCCTGGGTCAACTTAAAGCCATCCAGCCAAAAACTTCTAAGCTTCTAAGGCTCAACTATCAATCATTTAATCAAAAATGTACCAGTTGTCTGCAATTAATAGCTTAAGAGAGAATATTGTCCAGGAGAATTCATACAGAGCTTATATTGGTCCATTAAATCCAAGTTGTATTTGAAAAATTGCAATGTCTAGTCAAAAAAAGGTGTCAGGGGAGCTGGAAGAGAACAATAGAAAAGGATGTTTTGGCCTTTGTTGTTCTCTGTCTCTATGAAAAATTGTCATAATTTCCAATTGGTTTTAATATAATACACTGAAGATGTAGATTAAACTTCTATTGTTACTGGAAGAATTTTCACATGTGGCAGAGTTTACAAGTGATTAATTCAGTCAAAACTCCTTCTGTACAGTATAAAGAACACAAAGATTCTTGAGTTACTGCCACATGTTAATCTATACTAATTGGAAGACATATTTCTGATAGTGCATGTGATTTTCAAATATAGCTCACTACGTTGATAAATCCCACCAATTCCAGCAATGTAATGGTGGTGAGTTTTTATGGTTGCCTAGCTTTAGATCAGAAATCAAATGGAATTTCAAATAGATCTAACTTCCTCTATACTACACTGCCCTGAAAAAAAAAATAGAAGTTAAACTGCACAATGTCAATGTAAAATATTAAAATTATAATAGTGTAAAAGACATACTAAATTTGGTCATAAATGGAGGACCTACAACAAATAAAATAAATCTACAAATAAATCCTCCAATAACAAATAAAAAAATAGACTGCTTGATAAATTTCATGTCTGCACACAGAGATTTCATGTCTGCACTCAGGCAATATCTTAGAATTTTCCAGATATTATGTTTCTTCTCATTTTCACAGGCATCTGTCCTTAATGCTACTATTTAACAGTATGAAGCCAAGATTTAGTAGCACATGAGATGATCAAATGCTAGTTCTGATTGCTGAAACACATTCAGAATTTTTCTGTCTGTTTATGTTGAATGTCTTTCATGAGCTTAGAGAAGTGATTTCACTTCATTACATGCCAGGTGTTTTCCTTGCAAATCTTGCCCATGTACCAAGAAAGTGCAGGAAAAAGGTTTTTATGACTTGTTCAAATGGTAATTAAATTTCAATTCTTTGGGACTTTTAAGCTTTTTTACATCTCTTGCACTTCTAGTCATAATGATTACAGGACATAAGTGCAAAGTATACATCACTGAAAATCGGAATTTCATGGACTTGAGAACCCACTTCAAAAACTTATGGAGGAAAAAAAATCTGACATTGTTGCCTCTGAAAATAATACTGAGGTATTTTAGAGAAGTCATGGCTGGTTTGGTTCTTAGTTATAAATCAAACTCCCACTTTTGTACCTTCAAATACCTCTGCCTAAAAAGTAGGCCATCTTTATACTAAATACATCACTACAAATTTATTTAGAAATAAATAGAAATGTCAGAAATAACATCCTGGGATTTGTGTTTTTAATGCCTGTAAAAAATGTGCATTTAAACTCAGTGGTTACAGCATGTTATGGCTGGAGCGTGGTGAGGGAATTCAATGATATGACAGAGAATTGCCTATGAAGCAGAACAAAAAGTGAAAAGGATGTTGAAACCCACATTTTACTGCTTCTCATCCCAAAAGCACTGCAGCCCCCACCCCTTTGTTTAAAGCTGTAAGGAGTGTCCTTCAGCACATGGAGGGCTCTGCCCTGTCCCTCCTCCCACCTGGGCAGAAGAGCCCCCATGCCTCTGGGGGTTGCCCAGCTCAAAAACTGCTGCTGTTCTATCGTGACTTATTTCTGGTACTCCTCACTTCAAACTATTCCCCCTGTGAGATACTTGTAAGTGATTTAAATGCTCCCTCACTCCATCACTAACCACAGCTTATGTGTATTCTTTGTAGTCAGTCTGTAAAGATGATTTGGTTTCTCCAGATTTTCTTCTCTTGAATTCTTTCCAATATGCTTCAGCCCCATTTGCTCTGTTTTATTTTGTTGATAAAAAAGTCAGCTGAGACTCAGCAGAGAACATTTTTTTAAAATTTCTTGTAATACATATACATTTAGATGATATGTAAAAGAGAGCTATTCTTTCCATGTTTGTTTTGAAAGAATCCAGAAACAGTCCCAAAATTAAAACAAGAATATCCATGCTTATTGTCAGCATATGAAAGGTCAGCAAGGGTTCTATAAGATAATATCTATTTCTGAATGTTTGTGAAACCACTTAGAGTGTAACAGATCGTGCAGCTCTTGGTTACTTACTTCATTCCCTTCTAACTCAAAAAACTCAAACTTCATTGAAATTCGGTATTGTGTTGGGGCAACCACCTGCCACACACAGTTTTTGTTTGGAGGATACTCTTTTGGCCACCCTGGTGTGGTTATAGTCCCATTTAGCTTTGTCAGGAGTCCTCCACAAGCAGCTGTAAAATTAAAAGAGAACATCATTTCTTGACTGACAGTGTGTTTTACTATAAACAGAAACATGCTAAGAAGAGTCAGTCCTCTCATTACTTATGTGCTGCAATGCCCAGACAGACTAATCAGAATCTTGCTTTATCATGCTTGGTGCAAACAAAGAGAAAGAGACAGCCCCTATCGTGAACAGCTTGCAGATTTGTGGGCAGAGATAAGTTTCAGGACTACACAAGGCGTTATCATATTCATTCTTTTCCCCTCCCTCCAGAGACTCTGGTTATTCTCTCACAGCCTTTCCCATGCAAGTCCTCTGACCTCACCGCCCTCCCCAAGATCTTGACCACCCCTCTTCTGACAGAGAGATACTTAGGGTGTGCTTCTCTCCTTCATTCCTGATGCAGAATCAGCCCTACCTGTCTCAGTTCATATGGCTGTATATGCCTCCCATAACCCACTAGCTAGGGTCACTTCTTTGGAAGAGCAGTCACATACACTTTAGTCACAATTACTTTTGCTGAATCATGGATGTTCAATTAAAAGAGAAAGTGCCTCTTATTTCCAAGTATATGCCAAATAATCACCTCCATAAAACAGAAAAATACGATACAACGTTCTTGAATGCAGTTCAACTAGCAAAGGATAAACTCATTAATCTTTTCCATCTGTGCTTTTTTTTTTTTTAAAGGAAAGTAAGGGGATTTAGAGAAGCTCTCAATCACACTCTGCTACATTGATAACCATTACAGCACTGTGACAGCACTGGAAATCATCCACAAATCTCCTTCCAAAGAGCTCTGCTCAACTGTTCTCCGCTAACACTGAAAGCTTTAAAAACTGGCTATAGCAGTCTAGCTGATGATCTCACATACTGCATCTACTCCATCTAACACAGCTGGGAGAATTCACCAGTTACTATGTCAAGGCTCATTTTGTCAACTCAGACACACACCAGTGTTTCTCCTGGTCCCTAGTTTTCCATGCAGCACACTTCTTGATAAACATGTAAAAGTAATCGGATGGGAATGGCTGAACTAAGACCTCGGGTCACAACTCAATGTATCAAAAAAGACATAGTTTTAAGGACTGCACCCAGATGACACAAGCTTTCCCTTCAAATGATCCAATCTGGGTCAGAGAAACTACTGCCAGATTTCAATTTCTGCTTCTGAACATTGTTCTACTGATCCTTGAGGCAAGGGTGGAAAATGTGGAAATAGTGAAAAAAGAAAATCTTAACCCTTTCTGATATGCTGCCATTGGGGGAGACTTGGATTAGAAGATCATAAAACAAATTTCTGTGCATGTCAACACTGCAGTGAAGTATAAGGCAAAGTTTCTGACTAGAGGCTTCTACCCACACGTGAATTAATAGAGCTAGCTCACACAAACGGCCCAAACGATAACAAGGAACTAATGCTCACAGTGACTACACAGTAATTTTGATTCAGCAGTTCCAAGTACTATCTACACACAGTGAGTGCCACCTCAGCTGGAACAAACACATACACACTTTCAGGGATAGCTCATGGTTTTTTCTCTAAACTGCAGTGCAGTGCTTAGAGTAACTTCTTATGACAGAGTTGTTTTACTGTTTGGGCGCCAGGAATGTACCTCTCTTCTGTTTTTCAGAGGCAGAGAGAAGGGCCTTCTGAAAGACTTCTCTAATATTCTGACTTGAATCAGCAAGCAGACTAAACTCAATTCCTTATGTAAATTTGGGCTGACGATCAAAAGCCCAGAGATCAAACCTTTGTCTTCATGGCCCTCCCTTTGATTGAACTCATTTCCTTATTGTCTATCTAATGTGCAGGCATCCAAATAACTTGCTTTTCCAATGTTCTCTTCACTAAAGGTCGGTGAGGGAGGAAAAACAACCAAAAACACCCTGTGCCAGCTTGATGAGAGCCACAATCTAACATGCCTTTAATCTACGACTTCCACCAGCTCACACAAACATACAACAAACAAAAAACCAAAACCAACACTGCAGATCCAAAAGCAAAATAACAAGAAAGAATTGCAAAGAAACCAGGCAAAATTACCCCAAACTGTGAAAAATAATAAATTAAAGACAGGAAATTAGAAAAAAGAGAGACCAGTGAATTACATCAGAAGAAAACCAGGACTCCAAGCACCCCAACTTTCATCACTAGTCAAACAGATGAGCTAAGAATAAATTTGTGCTATCCTTTGATTTATTGGTGTCTATGAGTAAAAATCAAACAACACTTGGTGCATAATGATCAAGAGTTTATGGTTCTTTCCTTTGATATGAAATATGAATAGAATGCAAAATCTTATCTCAGTTCAATCCTATGTTTACAGGACTTCCGCTTATCTTTCTTTTTTCTCCAAATGCTTGTTTGAACACACTTTGCTCACCCTGAAAAGTAAGAAAAGTCCACAGTGTGGCTACGAGTGGGGAGGATTCCTCTGAGCTAAAATATAGGACCTTGCTCTTCTAGACCTGCCAGATTCCCAGGCACATCCCAGTCAGAGGTGCCCGAGGAGTCGTTACACACTGAATCTGAGAAGGTGGCACATACTCTGCTGGTAATAGTCTCCTTGAGAGACTTTGCTTTAGTGAGTATGAATAGCGTAATAAGTGGTATGGAGCCCTGCTTTGCACCATTCCTGATTGACTAACAGTAAAATCTGCAAAATGAAATTGCTGATGGACACGGGACAAACATGGCTCTGGCTCTGGCATGACTACTAAAAGGACAGCATTGCTTTTCTGGGTTGGGTTCCACAGATCTCATGCTGTTCAGACAGAGACCAAGAGATGTGTAGCATTTCATTCAGGCCATGGCACTCTGAGAGCTTTAAGAGCCCATAAGACAGCAGCACACTGTACCTTCACAACTCTTCTTGTCAGGACCAAGTTCGTAGCCAGGATCGCAGGCGCACTGGTAACTGCCCAGGGTATTCACACAGCGCTGCTCACAGCCCCCATTGTCAGGTTTGGCACATTCATCTTCCTCTGCCAAGACAGGCAAGAATGCAAAAATGTGTTAAATAATTACCTTCCTCAGCTGTAACTGCTGGATCAATAGTAACCCCGAAAGCTATATGCATGCCATTATAAGATGCACTGTGTAAACCACTGTGGTTACTGACTAGAGGATTTTCAAACGCTAAGGAGACCTGCAATAGAGAAAATAAAAATTTTTCCTATGTGGGGATGTGGGGTGTGGTTTCTTTGTTGGGTTGTTCTGTTTGTTTTTTTTGGTTTTTTTTTTTTTTTTTACAATGTCTACTAACAGCTGCAGAACTAATTTATAAGCACTTTGTGTGCAGCATACAGTAATTCAGGCAGCTATAATCTAAAGATTGTACAAAGTATTGAAGGAAAGATTGAAAATCCACAGTAGGGTCAATTGAAGGTCACTTTATCTCCCTCAGAATCAATCTGTACATTATCCTGAATTCATACTCAAAAACAGATTAACAGAATCCTCAAATCCTAGGTTTTTATTCTACTGATATTAAAAGGAACAAGATGAATCAGGGCTGGGGGAGGGAAAGGAATTGTGTGTTCTCTCTGCTAGCTCTGAAATATTCCCATGAGATTTATCACTGAAATATTCCTAAGATGCTGGAATATTATTTTCTTACACCAGGAAAAGTAATTTCTTAGGGAAAAAATAAGAGCTCCTACTCTCATGCCTATTGCCTTCAAAATTATAATTGCCTACAATGAAAACTATCAGTTGGGATTAGAAAAGCCATGGTTTCTTTACAAAAGAACAAAAAGGTTTTCCTCGTGGCATGACCTGTATTTCAGGTAACACCATGGCCACACCACTGCCAGTGGCTTTAACTGTGCCACCGGCAGCACCGTGTGCAAATTACAAACTTTCCATGTATCAAATGCTTCAGCCATTTTGTGCAGCTGTATGACACTCTCCTCTCCCCAAAAAACACCATTTCTTGCACCTAAGCTTCACAGAAGACTATGAGGTTATTGCTCAATATGATTTCTGATCTCTTTTTTGGTTTTTTTTCCCTCCTTACAGAGAGTAATAAAGCAGACCAACCCAGAAAATAGATCAGAAAAAAACTGACAAGATTTAGACAAAGAAAAGGAAAAAAAACTTAAACAGGAAAAAAAAAAGCCATTTGCAATTGCATTGTTTAACTTTATATTTGATAGCACAATGTAAAAAATGTGCCATTTTTCAAAATTAGGTTATGTTTCGGAACTAAGTTGATTAACTGAACCTGAAGACAGTAGAAAGTTGTGCTGAGTATGTTCCTTCAGTCTTTGGACACATTTTACTAGGAGATTCAAAAACATCTATTATTTTGTTTTGAATCAATTTTATGCCCAGGAAGAATCCCTCTATTTATTCTAGTAGCAAAAAAAAAAGATTGAGAAATATTTTTCATCTCTCTTCATAATTTTCTAGTCCAAGAAGAAGTGATAAGCTGCTAATTACTCTCAAAATATATTTTAACACTTACCTTTAAAAAAGTTAGCTGCAAACCCTGCTTTATTAACAGTTCCATCAGAAACAAACTTCATCCACAGGGTATTAGAGGTAGATCTAATGTCTTCTGGCTTGTCATACCCACAAAAGTGACCAATCAAAGGACTGTTCTCATTTGCTCCATCTCGGATTTCCAAGTAGTCATACGCACAGTTGTCATGTCTTTCAATCTGTAAAACATAATTTTCAAAATTACCTACCTGAACTTGACCACAAATATCAGGCAGATAAAAAGAATTTAATTTTTTTCAAAGTTAAGGTTAAGGTCTCTGATTAGGGTTCAAGCAGCAGAAAGATGAATGAACATCATCGAATGGATTTTAACTATACTTGTTTTCTGCACAAAAAAATATACTGAAATGTTACTAAGGACACAACAGTCTAACTGGGAAAAAAAACCTAAAAAAGACATGCTCACCTCTAAACTTCCTAGTGCTCTGTTAAACTTCTACTCTCATCTCAAGTCAAGTCCTCTTTTGTCATGTACACTCAATTAAAGAAGATTAATGGCTCAGAAACGAAACAAGTCAGAAATATTCACTGTTTTAGCAATATTAAAAAGTTCAAATTTCAACAATATGATAAGATTTTTGGAATCTCCTTTTATCATCCAGACAGAGCAAAATTTTGCATTTGTCACTGTTCCCTAATGTTGCAGGATAAAGGTAAAAAATTGCCGTGCATAAGGAATTTGATACATCTGAAAAATTAGATCCAAATACACATATAAAATGATCAGCTCTTAAGTAGTCAACAGAACAGAGGACGAAAATAAACTAATTTTTCAGTGGCCAATGTGTCCAGTTTCTCTTGCACAATTCCTGACTTCAGGTGTCCTCTTTTGATTTTCTGGGTCAATGAGCGAATCTTTGCTGTACTGATGGAGAAACTTACTGAAACCAGAGCAACTGAAAATTTCCCTTTCCATTTAAATTTTCTGCTGGATGACATTGAAACACAGACTAATATGTGAGTGGGCATGTGTGCATGTCTGCTTGAGTAGTGAGCCTTGTGCTCCTTACATAATATTATTTGCAGAGTCCATCAGAACGGGAATTGCACCAGAGAGGAAAGCAGTAGCAGCCCAAATATGACCTTGTCCATAAGATAGATAATTTACAATGCTTGTCTTTATTGAGAGCGTGTCTTTCTCAAGAAAATTAAAAACCCTCTTGAGCAGGGTCATTTTACTGCTGGAATATTTCACATCGCTCAGTCTTATTTAATAAAAGAATTAACTAGATCCAAGCATTCAAAAATAATTCCTATAAAAACACTCTTTTTAAACTAACTAGCTGAATTGGGAGAGGCAAGCTTAGGGATGGAGAGGATGGGGAGGGTAACAGGATCACAGTCAAGTAGAAGGGTTGGAGAAAGCCTCAAATCCAATTCAGCACATCCATATTCTGTTAAATCAATAAAGAAGTCTAAACTAAGCCCAGAAAAGTCTACATTTGCTCTCCAGAGAGTTTTTCTTGCACCTAAGCTTCACAGTAACCAGAAGTAGCCACCTGTTCTCTGCTCTACTTGTGCACCACGACCAACATGAAGCTCAGGAATCATCACAGACTAAGGAACTTCCATTAAGCACATTAATATTTCTTATGTAAAAGGAAAATTTGGGAGGAAGGAACTGTTTGATTTTGTGCCATATTTGTGGCATCAAAATATCAAAATATGGCACTTACACGCAACATTTCTCTGTCTTCTTTCCAACTTTCCAATTCTCCAGGCATTTACATGCACAATTTTCTCCCACCCACTCCTCTGTCACAAACCATATTGCCATTTACTGTAATTTCCTAAATTTTTGATCAGGAATTTTTCTGGGACAGAGTCTGGGAATGAGTGAGGAAAGCCAGGAAGATTTGGGATACAACCACCTATTGTTGATTTTAGTGGCAATTGTATGCAACTAATGCAGTACATGAGCACTGGTAAGTTTTTGACAATACCAATTCCAAATTTTCATTAACCTAAATAATAAATTCATGACATCATATTCCAATTTGAAATAAAGTCTGCCTTGTTATCTCTGTAAAAATCGAGAAGTGAGCTGGTCCAAAGCTCACTAATATCAATGAAGGAATTGTGCATTTTCCCCACACATCTGTGGTCATTTCAGTACTTAAGACATTTAATTAACATCCAGTTTTTTCCCATGTTTCCATTTTTTATGGGCAATATGGAAATTATGATTATCCACCAGTCCAGTGTGGCTCTGAGTTACATGTGCCAAATTTCCATTGAGGTGAATTAGTAATGTCTTTTCTAAGGATCACTTTATTATGGGCAGAAGAGCACAGCTAAAAATACATTTTGTATAGGAGTAAGTTTCTAACTTGCTAAGACTATAAGAATCAACCAACTTGCAAAGTTCCAAAAAAAAGACTGAGTTTCAAAAAAACCCATTTGAAAGGTGGCTGTTCTACCATATTCACTTATATTTAATTTACTACTAGTGCAAGTGATGCCAGCATTATCAATATTAAGGGATTGAAGTGTTACACCTATATATAACCTAACAGATAATTATTGTGATTTTGAGAAAAAACTGGTACTTGGTAATCGATGAAAGAAATTATAAAATGTGGGTTTTTTTTCCCGTACCTCAAGTTTTAAGATTATGTGGTACTCTCATCTGGTAACACTGCCATACAAAGGTCTATTGCACTTGCAATAGTCTCTTATTCCTCCTGCTTCCTCCTATATTTCCTATTTTTCTTATTTTTCCTACTTCCTATTTGTTCTTCGAGGAAAATCTCTTTCAGTTAATGAAGGGGCCCCTGGTGAGTTTGGCTGTAACTGGACTGATCCCATAAATCTTGTTTACTGAAGCACTAAAATTTCACAAGATATTCACATGATATTACATGCTCATGAGAAGAAATACACAGAATATTAGCAAATTTTAAAAAAGAAATCATATCTAAATTTTTTTTACAGAAAAATGCATTTCCTATAGGAAACTGAAAGATAACCTCAGCTCCTGAAGGCCTTAGAAAAAACATAGAATTTGAATGGCATCAGAGAACTAAGTTGAGAAAATGTCAGAAAAATTACTAAAGCAGGCACAGAAGAGCAGGAAAACTATGAAACTTCCCAGAGAAATGGTAAGCCAGAGACATTCTCTACATCTCATCTCAAAAAAATGTCTCATAGGTAGTTTCAGGTTTAGAATAACAACAACAAACCAACCAAACCAAAAAACCCAAACAAATACACATCCATAGTATCTTTGTCTTCTAGCACTCCTCCAACAGGAAAAAAGATAAAAAAATCAAATTAAAATAAACCAAAAAAAACCCCTAAAACTGAACCCAAAAAAAAGAGAAAAAGGATATAAAGGACAAATCTAGGAGCAATTCTGTTGCAGTAAAAATCTTTACATTATTTTTGGTCATTGTTAATTTTTTGTTCATAAAGTCAAACTGCAATAATGGTAAACATATCTGCCTACTTCAGTCATAAAAGGTGAAATATATGCCTAGTGAAATCAGTAGATCAGAGAAATTTTATTCCGTGATTTATATAAAAATAATTTAAATTATCTTCTATAATAAGCTATCTGCACAGAGTTTAACAAGGTCACTCAAATGAGGAAGATTAATATGAATCTTCTCTACAAACTCTCTGGATTTTTTTAGCTGGTGAGACTGCATGCCAAAAAAGGTTCTTAAATACAAAAGCAAACAAACTAACAAAAAATCCCTGCTAATTTTCAAAAAACAATATTAAAAAGGTGACTGTCACAATGAAAAATATGGAGTTCCCAGTCCCAACATCTCTTCTCTCACACAGACAGTGGAAATTATAGCAGCCAAATAAGAAAGTGTAATCCTGCACTCAGTGGAAAATGTGTTGCCCACAGCAGGCAAAACAAGATGACTCATTGATACAGCTTGAAATTCTCAGTTTCCCTAGTGCTTTCATTTCAGAATGAAGGTTATTTATACAGGGTTTTTTTCCCTAGTATTACATAGGGATAATGAGAATTCCCCTTACTTAACTGTACCTTTCAGAATACAGAGAAGTAATTTTCTCACAAACACACTGCCATAACTCTCTGGTCTGACATTTACTTGTTTCTATCTCAGCTGGCACCAAGAACAGTGATTTTTAAGCAACTTTTTGTTTTACTGGGCAGCGCACCAAGGATTCAGTCCAGAGTGGGACTCAGTACCAAAAACCAGAACACCTATCTCCAAGAGCTGGGAGCAGAAATGGAAATCAGTGCTGAATGTCCAGGCACTCCAGAGCAGCTCCCAAAGCAACTCCCATCCTCAGCAGAGAGCCCAGTGGATGAGCCAGTAGGAGGTGCCACAAAGACAGATATAACAGTCTTGTGCCTGCCTGGGGTGCCTCATTTGGTGCTCAAGGGCATCTTGCCACTCTGGAATTAGGGCTCACACCCTCCCTGGAAAGCATTTCAAGTCCCTACTGTTGGAATTCTTTTTTCTTTTCAAAACACGCAAAATATAAGCCCCAATTTGAGACTGTCCCGACTATATTTCTGCTCAATTTCCTCCTTCTTCTTATGAGGTGCTAGTCCACTTGTCTCACCTCTAGAGAGTGCCATAATACTAAACAGTCTGGAGGAAAAACTGGACACTTCTTCCTAAGGCCCTAATCTTGTCTACTAAAACATTCTGCTGTTTGCTGGTCCTTTACTTCTGGTTATTTCCTGTATGGTGAGGCAAAAGCATGCCATCCTCACACTTGTAAATAGTCCCTAACTTGGTGATTAGAAAAAGGTCCTGAAAGATAGGGAGAGATGTTTGATTCTCCCAGCGAGGATACTGAACTGAGGTCAGTTCAAGCACGTGCAGACCATTGCTGACCAACTGCATCCAGACCAAATATTGCAGCAAGTCTCTCTTGCAGAGGAATAGGGCCAATTCCCTTGCCATCACATTAAGAAATGCTGAGCACCAATGGCAGACTAGAAAAGCTCCACATCTAGTCAGTAAATTATATAAAAGGTACCCAAAACAGTCATTTTCAACAGGGCTTAAATAAAGAGACTAACATACTATGGTAAGTAGTCTTGAGCCAGATCATGCAGACTCAGAAGATCAGGGGAAGCTGATCTTGTCTGCACTAGAACTGACATTAATTCAGCATTGAAAAAAAAAAAGGAAAATTAAGTATAATCTATGATAATAATAACACTTTGATATTTTATATTCATAATTGCTGATAAAGTCCTAGTCCCTTATTGTCTCAAATCTTTCTACCAATCATTGAAAAAATGTGCCATAACCCTGAAGTCTGCCTGCAAGACTAAAGTGTCAGGTTGGAAATTACAGCTCTGTTTACTATACCTGTATTTAGATCTAGGTACAACATAAAGGCAAAAAGTCTAGATTTTTAAAAAGTGTTCTTCATGCCCTTACTACTGAAGCATATTCAAAGAAAACAAATTAACTCAAAGTATTCTCCAAAATTTATCTACAAAGTTGAAGCCAGTGTATTGTGCAGGAATAAAACAGACATGAAATATTACTCTTTCTTTTTTATGTAATAGTTTGCCATAGTTTAGTAATGTTATACACAGCATGATGGACACTAAAGACATACAGATATGACGACTCACCACATCTTTTATTCTTTCCTCACTAAACATAAGTTTTTGATCTGAATATTAGTTTTAGGGTTTTTTCCTTTTCAAAGCAGAGGCCAAAGAACACAGTGGTTTTTTTCTCCAGCCACACATTCATTTTTGACAATAAGATTTAGCAAAAAATAAAAAGTCCTGGTTATTTAACAGAATATTGAAGGAACCTTGCCGAGCTAGACGATGTACTTGGTAAAATGTGACTATCTTCAGTAATTTTAACATTCTAATTAAAATATTAGAGATTACATAAAAAACCTATAATTTTGAAAATTTCTGGGGAAGAGAAACTTTCACAGATTATGGAGGTAATTTTTTATAGAGAACTCAAATTCATTCACAGTTTAATAAATATTCCTTTAAATTTCACTGACACTTAGCCATTAGGTGCTCCTCTGAGATTAGTTAAAAGGCTTTACCTCAAATGCTTGAAAGGTTAATCCTACATTGTAGTTTTCAGACACTGTTATTTTCCACACACATTCCTTCATTGGTCTGTAGTCATCAGGATAATTGGGAGACTGGATCTGGCCTTCATTTTTGTGGATTTCACCTCCACAAATAGCTGACAAAGGCATAACATTTTACTGTCAATAATTACACTTTCTGTAATTTCCCCATGCCCAAAGTGACATCATATGCTTCCATTTTCAAAACTAGTAATAAAATGGTTCTGGATAATACTTAAATCTACCAAGGATAAATTATTGAAAACACAATTGATTTAAGTCATTATATGTACTTTAGTTAGCAAATATAATTTAGCATATCTAATAGCTCTAAACATGTCTACAGTGTTGAGGATGAATTTGTAATTATGGATAATCTGAATCTATACATTTTACAGAATATATTTAAAGAGTCAACATAATTAAATTTTTGTTCACTCTTGAAATATACTTAATAAACATTCTTCATTGATATTTACTAACCTTTAGAAATAGACAAATGAAAGCAAAATCTCATATTTTATAATGATCTATGCATTTTAACCTACAGTTTATCACTTCAAGCTTGCAATCAGTAACAGAAAGTACACACAGAAATCTCTGCAAACACGAAGTCCAAGAACATGCATATTTACTAAATTAAAGACCAGTAAAAAGTGTTTATGATTATTATCACAATGATAATATGTGATAGTGATTTTCCTGGCAAAGAGCTCGACTGAAATCTGATCATGGGAGGAGTTTCAAATTCCCCGTCTAGTAATTTAGCACCTACTGTCTCTTAGTGGTAAAATACTAATTTCATATGTTAGTTTTGGTGGGGGATGGTTAATTTAAAAGGTATCTGGTTAATATTATTCTTCCATAACCAAATTATTTTTAATCTATAAGAGGCTTACCTTCATAAACAGCTGCAAAACCCTTCCCAACCCAGTTGCTGCTGCTGCGGAACTCAATCCACATCCGGCTGTCGGTGGATGCGAGCACTTCTGGCAGTTTGTCACCACAAAACCTGCCTAAAAACATGCAACCAGTAACTGCATTTTCTGCCGCCTCTGAAGCTAAATGCTGCAAACATTTATACAAGTGTTTAACATTACAGGCAGAAGTAGCAGAACCAGCTCAGTGGAACTATTCATATGCCTATGGTTAAGCACATGTGTTTCTGCAGAGCAGGACCTAACACACAAAGATTTTATTATAAAGCTTTCAGAACTTTTTATTGCAGTCAGGCTCACAAGTCTAAGCGTAAAACCTTAGAGGAATTAATGAAAAAAATATTGTTAGAGGTTGTTTATATACATACAAACACATGCATTTTGGAAGGGGAAAAGGAGTACTAATATTAAAAATGGAACAAATGTAGGTCACAGTAATACAACTACAACTGATTGAGCCAAAGGGCCAAAGAGATTTTTTAAAGTAACATCTAAATGACCTATTCTACATTACCCTCTTAAAGTCTGCCTAGGTAGGTAAAATTTCTGTTTTTCTAGTTGATAGAGAACAGGAGAAGAGGATAATTACTGTCTGATCTTAACTGTTTCTTTATTTTCTGTTCAACACCAAGACAGTAGACATTCCTGTTAGCTGTCCTCTGTATCTGGGCACCAGCATTATGGGAGGTAAAATCTTCCCACCAGCCTTCTGAATTAAAATAGGATGACTGCAGCTTTTACATTTCGGTTGCAACTCAAACTTAATTCATTATTGCTTTGCATTTGTCTTCTCTGCAAGAGCAGGGAAGGACACACAAGGAACAAAGAGAAGCAATCTTCCTCAAATCTTAAAGGTACAGGCACAGAGCTCGTAACAACAGCTCTACAGAAGATGCATGTTCTCATCACATGACCTATGAATCTCCCATCACATGCTCTAGAGATTTGTCTGTAAACTTCTTCCCTATTTCTCTGGAAAAAAAAAAAAAAAAGGCAGCTTCATAATTCAATATCCATAAGCAAAGCAAAATCTTGCAGATTTTATAGTTGCCATCTTTCCACACTTGCAGCTGAATAATAGCAAGCTGCAGTGAAAGGAAGGTTTGAGGCTTGAAGTCAAGACCATTTAGAGGGTTTTTTTTCCCATCCCCAAGTTTAGATCCATTCTAGACACCTGAAACCCAAGAAGTTTGCTGTGGGTTCAACAGCAGGTCCACTGAGCCCAGTGAGTGGGGAGCAGTGGACAGTGCAGCGTTCAACAGTTGCATACCAAGCAGAGGGGATTTTCTCCAGTAGCCATCTCTTACTTCAATATAGTCGTACCAACAGAGACTGCTCTTGTAAAGGTCCATGGTGGTAAAGTTTAAAACGATCTGCAACCAGATGAGAAGACCTAAATAAATCATGTGTGGTAAATAAGAGAAAAACAATCTCGACAACATTCTGAAGAACTGAAGCAGGACTGCTCACCTGTAATGGAATTCCAACCATTCCAACCATTTAATTATCCTCTCCTCAATTATTCCTTTGACTAAGTTTCTTGGGAACATGAAAACTTTATTTTATTTGATCTTATATATTTGCACAAATTCAAGACAAACTACTACACAGGGAGTTTTTCCCTGAGAAATAAAAATTCCAGATTTCTAATTAGGTAAAATATTAGAGTAATATAATTTAAAATATGTTACTTGATAATTACTGCCAATTCCTCTTCCATTACATTTTAACTACAAGCAGCACTGACTATAATCAGCTGCAGATAAAAAAAAATTAAATAATTGTTTTAGTTTGTGCTTCTCCTACTACTGTTTTAACAAGATATTTTACTTTCAGACACATAAATGTTGACAATGTTGGTCAGTAATTCTGAAAAAAAAATTCACTAATAAGAAACAGTGTACAGTCCATTAATGATTCTTAATGAACCTATAATAAAGCTTTTTATAGAGAAATATGAAATCTGCATATTTCTGGAACTTTTGAACTTGGACTCCAAGTATTATTGAGAGTATCTCTAAACAAGCATATTTTCAATATTTACTACAAGGACTACCCTTATATTAAATTACATTATCCCTCTTTAAGAAATATTAATCCTAAACTGCCATAAACTTAAACTTTTAATACAGGAATAGGATTTTTCCTGTTCACACATTGATACAGTAGCTACAGTTCAAACCCTGACTGACTGGCATAGTCATAGTATCATGTCCTGCAATTACAGAGATAAATCCAAACAAGAAGATTAAAATTTATTCATATTTTGTTTTGTGAAATTACTTCCAATTAATACCTTTTAATTGGATTTAAGTGTACTTGGAAAAAAAAATCATGTGTTTCAGAATCAGTTCCTCAGGGTACATAATAACAACTGAAATTCTTCTCTATTCACATTTGAGCATAGAATTGGTATTATCTTAGCTTTGATCCTAGAAATTTGCAATTGAAACCTGCCATTATAAAACAAAAATAAAATGCTGCACAGGAGCAAGTACCTCACACTGCAAAAATACATCTCCATGGCAGCCCATGGAGCAGTTGTGAGTGTCAGTTGAAAGGAGAGGAATTTACCATTATTCCACATGCAAGGTAAAATTTTTAACACCATAACTGGAAAAATGAACCCTGTCAGATAAAATGGTTTAGTTCCATGTCAAAGTTCTCGGTTTCATGCACCCTTTCATGGATACTTAACACACAGGACATTTTGCCTTTATTACTTGGACAGGGGCAGTCCTTCAGGAAGATGTACTGAATAAATAAATGCACAAATATTGCCAGAATTCCAAAACCACCTATTTACCATCAGAAATATGAAGAGCTGGCTAAAAGTAAAAACATTCATATGCTTTACTCTGCTTCAGCTTTTTAATACATTTCCAATTTCTATTTGAATCTACTTCAGAAGATGGCAGAGACCATTCTCTCATTTACAAAGAAATTCTCTGTCCTTGGCAGAATTTATCTCCTTCAACTCCTCCTTCAAGTAAAGAGACCACATCAACATACAAAACTTTTGTTCTTCTCAAATCATTCACTTTGCAGTTCAGATTCCCTCTAAACTCCTACCTTCTTTTTTTCTCAAAAGGTAAGGAGGTGTCTGTGTTTGCATTTAGCCACACTGCTTGGAAAGCCTGCTGCCCTCACCAGTCTTGTCCTTTCCCTGCCATGCCAACTTCACCCCCCCATCCGTGCAGTCAGAGGGGTGCACAAAAGGGAGCCCCTTTTCTCTGCCCTGATGAGATGCAGACAGCTGCTGACACAAACCCAGCTGGCTCTGCTGGAAGCAAGCCACAGAAGCCACAACCTGCACCTCCTTCACCCCTTCAGCTCCTTAGAGCCTGGAGGTCTCTCACCACTCTAACCACAAGTTTCCCTTTTTTCCATGACACAGCTGAAACATCAGATTTCTTCTCTGGTTTTTGTTTGGAAATTCACCTTTTTCCAAACCTTAGTTGCCAGGATAGGGGTGGGAAATGGATGGTTTCACTTAACTGTGATCATGTCAATGTCTCAAACTGCTGCTATCTAAGTGGAAATGGTTAAAATTTCATGAACCTCCTCAATGGCCCCTGCTTTTGAAACTACATGAAATAACCTTCACAGCCTTTTCTCACTCTGGCATGCCAAGGTATTTGATGATACAGCAATTTCTTAACACTGACCAGAATTCATTAGCTGTACATAGGCTGAACCCCCAATCTGTCGCAGCATGATTTCTGGTCATGAACCAAACAAGCTTAAATATATTTAAAATTCCAATTTGCTATTCTGCAAAGTACTAAACAGAGCTACAGACAAGGCAGAGCTTGTTCAAGGCGACAGGATGGCTGAGAGGCTTCCCAGGAAAAGCAATCAATGGGTATTTGTCAGCACAATTAAAGAATTATTGATTACACAGCAGATTGGATTGTGCTACTGCAGCTTCCAAGAGAATATATCATATCTCCTACTGCCTGAGATAAGAAAGCACAAAATATAAAACAAATACCAGTACACAAACCAAGGTTTTTGTAGGTGGCATTTTTTTACCCATATCAATCAAGGATTTTTCTGGCCTATTTCATCTTTCATGTAAAACATTAAGGAAAACTGAAAAGTAATCTATTCAAAAGGCAGATTCAAATAAAACACTGGCACAGTTGCAACTCTCCCTACGCCAATAAAATTTCTACACACCAGAAGGCAGGATTCTCCCTGGCTGGGGGCATACAGCATTAATAACACCATCCTCCCTCCAAGGCTTTTCTGTGTATAGATACATTGAGTACAGCTTTTACAGCTACATTTTACCATGTAGTCTTAAGTATCAAAAGTAAAAGGTAAAGGAATAAATTGGGAAAGGAGCCAGTCCTCTCACGTTGCTGACTTCAACACAGGGGCTTTCCCTCATTAATATTCTGTCCAGTATAATGCAGCTTCAGTAGTGGTTACAAACTCAAGACATATTACATTAGTGCCTATAGACAGGCTTACACAAAGTTGAACTATGCTATAAATACTTAAACATCAACATTGACTCATACATTAGAATTTTTTTCAAGACCAAATAATTGTAGATGAACACACTTTTAAATTTTTTTTTTTAATGGAGCTGTGGAAAAAAACTTAAGCCATTTTTGTTGTTATCACAATCATGTCTAAAATGCAACACAAATAATGGGGACAGAAATTTACTATCTAGAGTAATTTTCATCTTTTGCACAAACATTCTCTTATTCATCTCTTCATTTTTTTCCCTGACAACATGCTGAGTCACCCTTTTCCTCCCAGCAGATAGTGTTTAGTTTTCCTCCTGTCTCTGGCTCTTGCCCAAAGGAGGGCAAACACTCTCCAAATGACTTTTCTTTCATTCCCCACAGTAGCAAATGCCCTTACAGTTCCTCAGGACCTATCAGAGCAACAAGAGTACATATTCTTGGTGTCTACCAGGACCCCGACTTGAAAGAAGCACGGAACAAAGTAATAAAATCAGGAGCAAAGAATGTCCAATTCATACATAGTGGGAGATTTCTGAGACAAATTATTGAACTATCTGGGGGCAAGTGCTGGGTCTTCCTACTTGAACTTGCCAGTACTGAATCTGTCAGATTCCATATTTCAGTCTTTGGATTCTCTATTTTAGTCTTTAGTACTTGACTGCTTGATACTAGCCACTGCTTCACATGAGGAAACTTACATCCTTTTTCCTGCATATTTGGTCTCAGATTAAGCTTTTTATCACTCCCTCTATCCTTATTTGTTTTGAAGCAGCCTGATATTTGAGCTAATAATTTAAAATGAGATTTAGCAGCACATTTTGAAAGTGTACACAAGAAGGACAGGTTTTGCTTTCCCTAGCATGGCACACTTCTCTCTCCAAACTGCTCTCACCAAGCACATTTCCCCCCGCCCTTTTCCCCATAAAATTGATCCCCAGAAATTAAATCTATATGCACTAGAACCAATTCCAGGGAACACACACATTCTTTACTCATGTGATTATGGTTCCATTTCAGAAGCATCTTATTGAACACACTAAGAACTTCCTTAGTCACAGCCCAAGCTATCAGCCCCATACAGCTCAGTCAGCTTGCCCATGCTGGGAAATGGACCATTCAGGAGCCTGAATCACCTCTTCTACTTTTATATTGAACCATAAACTGAACTAGAAGCCAGTTTTAAAGGGAGTGCATGGTGCAACTATACTGCAAATTGAAATCATGTCTTTATTTCACAGGCACATCCATTGAATTGATGACGAATTCTAATGCCACAGATCAAAGTAAAGTCAATAGTACAGAACCCACAGTCCCATTTTTATGACACTCCATTATTTTCAATTAATATGCATCTTTTAAACTTAAACAAAAAGCTAAAAAATCCAACATTTTACTTTGAAAATAGTATCTGTGTCTAGCTAAAGGAACATTAAAATACCTTCTCTCCTGGGGTCACAGAGATTCTCCATATGCAGTGTGTGTAGGAAGGATAACCATTTGGAAACCCAGGAGAAGAAAAGTTGCCTGTAGATTCCTGCAGTGTTTCTCCACAGGCTGAAAGAAACAAATTACAGTAAAAATATAAAATGTAATGTGTCTAACGGAGAAAAATGCATCTTTCCAATATCTACTCAGAATTCATTTAACTCACTGCAGATGCAGAATGGAAAATAAACTGGTTAGTTTACAATTTATTAAAAGCTTTTTTTTAAAGCCAGTTTGACATTCATTCCATTTTATGCAGGATGTTTTTTTTCCATGAACTATTTCACTTGTGTGCTGTCTGCTGACATAACCAAATTATGGCAGCCTTAAAAATATCATATCATTCCTGTCAATCACCTACAATATTATTCATAGAACTCTTTTGGTAATTAAAAAAAAGGGCAGCCTTTAAGAACTAAAAGAAATGCTAGCACAACATGATTTGCATCACACTGAAATTTTTTCAGTGGTTTCATTTAATTTAGTCATTTACCCACATGAAAAACTGATCTGACCTAAACTTGCTTATTTATGTTGGTATAGAAAATTAAGTCCTATATTCCACAAAGTCTCTTAGCAAGGGTGATTTGTAGTAATAAAAGCAAAGCAAATGTAAGGTCTTAAAATACCAAGAGCTTTTATATTCTTTATTATTGAAGCTTTTAGCACCCTTCTCTCACCTGTCAATCATGCTGCTAGATGCTGGCTAATAAATCATCTTCACAGTAAAATTTAACATTGGAAGTTACTACCACTCTCCAACATTAAAACTGACTTTGATAGGGTGTTGCACCTTAGTCAGTCATCTTTTTTGACCTTAATCAAATTTTTTCTCCCACTGATTTTGCAGGTGTGACAGAAGATATGAATTTGATATTATCTCATGACTAACAGTGTAATCAGATCTGCAGTGCTTTCAAATTACCACTGCCAGCAGGTGAACAACAGTGTCATCAAAATATCGATGAATTATAAATGTTCTGGAAAATCCTTAAATAAAAGAGGACAAAGGAAAGGATTGCCTGGGACAAAGACAGACAATGCAGCTGTAAAGCTGTTTTGTTAAAATGCACCTAAGATGTGATTGGACAACTACACTGTTATATCAGGTGGAAATTATATTCAAGGCATTAAATTTGCTCTCTGACACTCAAATGATTATCATGATAAGAAGAGAAAGGAAAGAGTGGCATGGCTCTCAAGACGTGTAACAGCTGAAGCTACCACCACTGTGTCCTTTAGGAGTTAAACACAAAAATAAAACGTCTTCCTCTCTTCATTTAAAAAAATGCAGTTTTATCTTTAAAAGGTTGCAGACAACTGCAGTAAGTGACATTTCTGCACAAAGACCCTTCAATGAAAAGGCTATATTCTGTCATTAACCTGGGCTAGCCTGTCAATTTCTTTTTAACACAACAACGAATGTAAAGACATTTAAGTTGCAGAGGCCTGTACTGGGTTACCCCAGAGCTGGTGAACTGTACCAGAGCATACAGTGCAAAAGTGAAGCACTTCAGAAAAAGCCAACAGTAAAATTGTTGGAGGACAGTAGGGTCTAAAGATGAGACATTCACAAGAATCCAGGTACTCCTCTCACCCCTCTTATAGCCCTCTGTTCTTCCTCTCATCTATGGTTTCATTAAGTCCATGCTCCACATTACAGAAGATGTTTACAGACCTAAAACAATGGCTTTTAAGTTGCAAAAGGAGTCATGGAACTCCTTTTTTTTTCCCAGGAATTACAGGATAAAGCTATTTAATATGAAAATTTACCTTCTACACTTCTACACACTTGGGCTTCATGTGTTTTGCCATATTTATCTTTTAATTGTAAATTCTTGATTACTCAAGGGAGCTATAACAGTAACAGCTTATACCAATCAATAGTTGAATTAATTTTCTATGGGATTTGAGCTCTAGGCTGGCTTCCAAAGCTGCAGTAGACAGGGTGATATTTGGGAATTTCTTGTTGAAAAGCACATTTCTAGGCAACGAGGAATGGTTAAAGTTCTATCACTAGAGAATGTAGAGATTGTATTTGGACTGTAGCAACTGCAGTATTCACGACTAGGTTTATAAGACAGAATATTACAATTTTTTTTCACTGTATAATCATCCACTAGTAATGGAATCCACTTTGGGAGAGAAATGTGGAAGGAAAATGAGTGGTAAGGGCCACTTATTTAAATTTCATTTCATACTTATTTTAGTATATTTCAAGTCACAAGATATCAATCACAACTTAAATCCTATATGCTTTAAATAGCAATGCTTTACAATGTTTTAAAAATCATTTGTACATTTTTATTCTGTTGTTAATCATTAACATTTCCTAAGGTTTTCTGTGATACTTTTTCCCTCCTTTCAAATGTCATGCCTTATATCAATTTTACTAGGCTAGACCACTTGCAGAAATGCCACTTTAGCTTTCCCCACACACATACTCTAGCCATAAAAGCCACTCTCCTCTGCTTTACAGCTTGAGAAGGTTAGACATCTAATAAGACTTTCCGTGGTTTGGAGAGGGAAGCTATTTTTGCTTCTCCTTGTAAAGATTAGCACTGGGTGTAGGCAGCAGGTAGATTATGTGCTTATACAAAGCTATTCCCACCAGTGTACTCTGCAGCAGTGTTTAATTACACTGCCTGAGCGTGACACCTCCCTGGGCTGGCCTGCACACATGGCCAAGTCCCATCAAGGATTACTGTGAAATCTGCAAATGATGGAGCCCAGATCCCCCAGGACACTTAGGGAACCAAGTCTCATTCCTTTGCACATAGCACTAGCAAATGCATAGCATCATTTATGGCTAATTTGATTTTACCCTTTTTCTTTAAGTTTTTTAACACTTAGACACAAGTCTGTACAACTATATATATATAGCATAGAAAGCTGCCATAGAGCCCTAAAAATATCTACTGCTGATCATATTCTTTTTAAATCAAGAACTTAAATCAGTTTACTGCAACTCAGGGCCTTACTATTGACTTGATTCCTCATAATAGTTATAAGGAAACTGACTTAATCCAAAAACCCAAATTCTCCTTATGCAGTAAACAAAAGCTGACTTTTGATGGTGAACATTCTCTTCAAATCTAACCCAGGCAATTTGTAAATTTGCTGAACTTCGTCCATCCACCTTCTCTTCCTCTAAACAAATTTCTCCCACCAGTCTGAGACTTTCGTATCCATTACACAGTCCCACTTTATGCACTTTTTTTTTTGTTCTTTTGGCATATGAGTATCTTTCTCCATCATTTTCCTTTCTTATTTTTCTGCTCCTATTAAGCAACATATAAATGTTTCTTTCTATATACAATTTCTATATAAAACTATAGAGGCAGACCAGCATTGAAATTTTAGAAGCTAGAAGAAAACACATTTTATTCTTCAATTAGACTGTTTGAAAACTGTAATACATCCAACCTTGAACTTCAAGTTTTATTCTCCAATACCAAGACAATCAAAATTCAAAATTAGATTGGCAGAGGAAGGACTTCAACAGAGTTGTTTTCTTTCCCCTTATTATTCCATCACATAACAATATAATTTGGTTTTAAAATGTAACAGATCCCTATCAGCAATTACATTTTCCTTTTACAAAAATCCTAAGGAAAAGTTAAAAAAAACCAAAATTGCTGTTGCTACATTTTAGAGACCTGGCACTTACCCCACTGCTGAAAGGCAGGTTATCAAATCTCACTCTGGCTTCACCAGTCTCAAAACTGTTTCTTGGTCAGTAAGCCCCTTCCTGAATAATGATCCTGACTATCTAAAACGCCCTGGAAGGCTCAGCTTCTTCCCTGCTGTGAGGATCACCTGTATTTTCCAGCAACCCTGAGTTCAACTTCACGTTCACAGGCCCCAAAAAAGGACTTGGGCCTGCAACTGTTTGCAGAAATAATTAGAACTCCGAACAAAACACACAATACTATGAAATCCTTTATCATAGAAGTGTGGGTCTCTGGAAAATGCTGATTAAGTCATTGGTTTCTGAATTTTCATTGCATTGCATTTAAGGCAGCACAAATGAACATATGAAAAAATGCAGATATTATTAAGGATTGAAATATTCACTGCTGTTTTATAATAAGCAGGCATCATGATTAATAATTTTGTCTGAAATAGGAAATAAAATTACCTCCAAAAGCAACACAGTATCAGGGATTGTATTGCTATGTACTACAATGATGATTTGATTCTTTACATAAAAATAAAAGCTTTATGCCTGTCTGAATTTTATGTTTCAGTATTTGCTGCAAAATTTATTAGAAGAACAGTACTAGATAACTTTCAGAGATTTGCTTTCTTTATTGGATTCAGTTTGGGTTGCGTTATTCAGCTATGCAGCTTCTATTAAAAATATTAACTGAAAAAATAGCATTTTAAATAGTATGCTAGTTAACATTTGTAGAAAATCTTCTGCCTTTTTCTCTCTCTTAAAACTCACTTTCTTTTATGGCATGGCTCATTTAAGTAAGGTTGGAAAGCCAATACATTTTATCCCAAATTTTGCAAAGCTAGGTGACAAAAAAGGAGCATAATACTTCAACCACCATTCATTTTTATTGTTCATGTGACCCATGTTCATTGGTGCTGCAAAAAAAATCTTACTTTTCAAATGCAAACTGCTACTGAACAACCACAGTGGTTTTACAATACTGTGAAATGAACTTTCAACAAGACTTTCATGCCACTGAAAGAAATTATAACTCTCAGTACATTTTCATAACATATATGAAAAGGATATTTTCTCTGAACAGCTGTTTGAACACTAGCTCTAAATGTATGTTGCATCTTCTACAGTTTTGAAACTGCATATTAGAGTATTATATACATACTAAATTGACTATTTTATAATTTCTTTTCTTTTTTTTCCTTTCATAAGTCAGTATGATCATGAGATACTACCTCTTACTTGCCCAGCAGTTTTATATACTTTTTTCCTCCAAAGCTTGTCTTTTATCAAAATATATGCATATTCTTTTTGTTCATGAAGTTGTTACTCTCTGTATGCTTTCATTAGAAATCCTGCTGCCAAGCGTGTCATTATTAAAGTACTTTCTGTACCAAAAGGAAAGAGCAGAAATTGTTCCCAAAGGAACAGTTGTTAAAGAAAAGGTGTTTAAGTGGTTTCTGCTTTCACAGGCCCAGAATCCCTGTGCCTGTTCTCAGTATATACAAGAGTCTGATTCAGCGTGCTTACAGCACAAAGGAAAAGCACATTTCAGCTGTACAGTGAATCTTCATTAGATCTCATCGCTGCTGGTACAAACTTGAAACAACTCCATTACTTTAACACAGATTGCTTTCTTTAGCCCTTTTGCGTTGATCGGTTGGTTAAAAGTGGCAATGTATCTAAGTTGAAACAGCTCCTGAGATGTCATTCGCTCCCATGAGGAGCAGTATGACTGTAAGCCTACGTGGCTCAGAGCTGGGACGTCCGGCTTCCCACAAGGATCTTACTGGTAAATTCTGACTGAGAGAAGGCACTTCTGAACTTCTTTGGTTGGCACCAAAGGTTAACCGTGGTAACAGCAGTAACTAGAGCAATGAGATTAAAAACTTTTCATTTGAGATCTCCACCATTCTGGCAGTACTTAGTGAAGAAAGAGCGCTAGAGAACAACGTGAACCATAGCATTGATTCTGGATTACTCCAGGCTTGCCACTGATGTCTCTGAGACAGATAGCGACTCAACCACATTATTTTGAGATTAAAAATTAATATGCATTCCAATTATAGGATGACAGAATTAGGCAGAATATATTTAAATTTTAAATGTATCTGTTAAAACTATAGAAATTTTGTAGAAAGATCTAACCATCTCATCCACACAAGAGTTTACAATTTGGTTGTTCTCGCTTCTTTCATTGACACATTTTAAAAAATTATAATGGATTCACAGCCAAGCGCAGTAATTCATTTTGCTCCTTCTGCACTCAGCTTGAATTCAAATAAAGGACTCCACCCAGTATGCAAATCAGAAGTGATATTAAACATATTTTTCTAGTTGTTGAACAGCTAAGAAAAGCAGATTGAAATGTCATGTCATTTCATACAGTTCATCTGTCCTTAGGTACTTTGCATTCCAGTGACCTTATCCATAAGGGGTTTTTTATGATTCGATTCCTCAGCAGCCTATGTCAGTTGCCAACATAGAAAGAGAATACTGAGCAGCTGACTCAAAAGGTTTAACATTGCTCTTGAACAACAAGTCAAACAGTTGCTAGTATGTGGTTTTTGTTTGTTTGTGGTGCAATACCTGGACATCTATACAGCTTTCTTGCCTGTGCAATATCTCCTTTACTTAGACGGGTACGCTGGCCAATGGCAGGTCGTATACCATTGTCATCACGGGAAGGGAGAATGGTATCCAGAAACATGCCCCTAAAAAAAATAAAAATAAAAATAGACCCCAAAAAACCCTATCAGGTTTCTCTCATAAAACTGTCTGAGTTCCATGAATGTATACCTGATTGTAAATCTGGTTTTTACATTTGGCATAAATAAGAGGATAATATACAGAACATTAAATGCAGACAATATGCCACAAAATTTCTCAGGTTGGCAAACTTTATGTAAAGTTACCAAAAAAGAATCTTCTCTCGGTACATCAATTAACATATCATATTTCTGCTAAAAAAAGAGGAAGAAGATTTCTAACTACTATTAAGACTTTACATGGAAAAGACACTGCCATTAAGCGATTGCTATATTGGCAAAAAAGATCTAAAATTTCATTAAAATACATAAGTTAATCTCTAGCACAAAACTCTTAATCACAAAGTTCCTATTTTTAATAAAGTTTTTATAAGAAATCCTACAGTCTGACTTACATGTGAGAACAGGTAAAATCAAAGACATTTGCCAATCATGATTCTGTCAAGTGTTGTAAGACATTTAACTCCACTCTAACTGCTGACACTTTCAAAACAGACATGCTTACTTGCCAGCCTTTACTTGCCTTGCAATAAAATATATCAACTTACCATATGTGATTTCAGTGACATTAACCTTAAATGACAAGGCATCACAGAGAAAAACACTTGTTCCAAATGTGCAATTTATTCAAAATTTCCCAGATTTTAAATATGATCTAAAACATTTTGCTATTCTCAAATAAATTTTAATAGACTAAGATATAAAACTACATTCTATTACCACGTTGCAGAATTTTAAATCCTTCAAATCCCGTAAAACAGCAGTTAACGGAAGAATATGTTTCTATAGTTTCTTTTATTGAATTATTTATAATCACCTGTATACCAGTAGGGGTTTTATTGAAAAGCAAAACCAGTACCTTCAGACATAACATGGATGCAAAAATTAACAAATGGTAAGGATCCTTGTAGTTAGGAATACAATTTATAAACCCATACTGGTTTTTAAATTAAAATTGATGAACCATTTTGAGTATTGCAAGTACATATTGCTCTCTTTATCCAGTTAGATTTTTTGAGCCATCACTAGAAATTTTGTAAAGACAGAATAATCTCAGGATGTTACTCTAAACATTGAAATAAACTACATATGGCATGAATAATTTTCTAGAACAAAGGCACATTACTCTTTAGAAAACGATTGCTTCTGTAAATTATAATTCTATTTTCCACTCAATTTCAGCACAACATCAAACTGGTGCTTTTCATACATTCAAAAACTTTGAAAACAATCCTCTCTTGAATGTCTTAGCACTTTAAAAAAGGAACATACTGTAAGTTTAAATACAGCATGAAAAAAATCATCGTGCACAACAAGAACTTTAGGATGATTCGTGATTCCTACTACTTATCTGGGTGAGCAAAGTCTAACAAACAGCTGGCAATATGCCTCACTGGGCATCACTCATGCTTGCAGGATGAATTAGTGCAAATCAATACCCAACCTCAGGGCTTTGCTGGCTATTTTTAGACAGTATGAAGTAACAAGCCCTTGTATCTTGGGGCAGGGCATGCCTATTCACGGCACTATCAGTTTTTGCCAGCTTGGAAAGTGGTGAAATCAGGGCCAACAAATCAAATTACCTTGATGTTGTTGTTGCCCTAGGACTCAGGGGGGTTCTGTCTTGTTCAATTACTCTGTTTTATACAGGTTCTTATAATCTCATCCTTAAGGTAAAGGTATGTGTAACTGGATTAAGCAATGTGACTAATAGCTACCTCATGTGGCTCATTCCCATGCTCTTGCAGGGGTGAATTATGTGTATGCTCAGTAATAGGGCCTTTGGCTGGATTTTTATATAATAATAGAATTTATATTGAGAGAACAAGCCAAACAAATTTGCAGAGGCTGGTGAGGTTTTAGTCGCCCTCAGTTTACTTCAAAGTGTCAGATTGTCCAGTATTTTTACCTTAAAATGCATGAATTTGAAAAATATTTTTAAAAAAACTAAAAAAACCCCAAAAAACAACAAAAAAGACCCATACACACAAGAAAAGAAAAAAAAACAAAACCAAAAAAACAAACCCAACCCAGACCAAACCAACAAAAAAAAAAAAAAAACCCAAGAATATATCCTTCCAAACTACAACTTTTTCTTGGGTGTTTTTGGGAGGTTTCTTTTAATTTTACATTACCCTGGTACCTTTAGAGAATAATTAGCTGATGAAATGCAATAGGAGACTGGATAAATGCCTCTTTCACTTCTTCTCTAGGGAAGGGCTGACCTATGGGTCCAGCTCACTGTACAGCTCCCCACAGCCCTGCACCCTTTCAGAGAGAACCCCACTGAGTCCCTAAGGAGCTGAGAAAGGATCAGCCTGCAACAGGACAGAGCAAAACCAGCAGAAGTCTTTACTATAAGGTTTTTATGACAGTAACAATACTGTCAAACAAATAAAGAGAGGAGGCTGCATCCTCTGTTATAAATGCTTGACTGCAGTCCTTAACAAAGGCTGTGGCTTGTGTGGTAGATGTCCAAATAACCTGTGCTCTACCTGCATAATCCATGGTTATGAAACTCCATGCATCAAAGGAGATGTATTTTTCTTTTAGAAAACAGATCACGTTACACATAACATTCCTAGTCATTTCACTCATTTGATTTTTCTGAATTCAAATTTTTGTGGACACAAAAAGAAAGTGAGTATCATATAAAATGATGTTTCCAGTTTATCTTGTCTGAAAATCTAAAGAACTAAGGCAAGATCAAAAGGCTGCTTTGAAACTGAACAGAAAAGAAATGCATTTTCAAATATAATTAAATTATTTTGACTTAAAATAAACAAGCTGTGCTTTGACTGCTGTAGGAATATTATGTCGCAAGGGACATTTTAAGGAATTTAAAAATACTTCAAAAAGCATAGTTCTTAGCATTCACAGACAGGAAGAGAATTAAAAGCCAAAAGGTATAACCTGAGACTCCAACCTTGAGAAGGTGTTCCTGGCATAGTGCATGATGCTGTCAAAGTCATATGGTTCCCCCAGGGAGTTCACCTCTCCAGGCTCCATCTTCAAAAAGTTGTATTCCTGACCTACAAATGATTGATAATTATAGATTCTTTAATATCTTTTTCTCTAAAGATAAAAACCAAACACGAAAAGAAAACCAACAAAGATCCTAACCTAATTACTCACTGACATTCATAAATCTTTGCAGTTTGGGAGGAAGTGTGCAACTTTACTACTCCCCCTTAACTGATAGGGCAGACATCTTCTGAAACACACATCAAATTTGTATATTTGGATTTAGAAAGACTAGTTTCATGCAACTAACACATTAAGGCCCCACACATCATGATGTGCTTCACGTACAGTCCATACTAATTTCTGGTTTGGTTCTTAATTCCTAAAAGAAATCATTTTGACAGCAAAGACTCCAGAAGAACCCTCCTCACTCATTAGACTGGATACTAACAGCCTAACTGGATACTAAATCCAGCACTAAACTACTGGAGACTCAGCTTCAGCAAAGTCTGAAGCTTTCTCTGTGAGGCTTCATGTAATGCAGACACTACAAAGTCACATTTTCAAGATCCAGCTGTTGCAAATTAACAAGAGCAGAACAGGAGAAAAGGAATTATACTTAGTTCATAATTCCATACCCTAAGTTCTTTGACCTAATCAGTACATCAGCAATACAAAGCACTCCTTACTCCAGTTCATATTCCCACTGGAGTCTTGCAAAAAGACCCTGCAGTGACATCAACCTTTTAACCAACATAAGCTGCATAATATAACAAAAACCAAATGTGTCAGTGGCCATGGCTTCCTGATCCCATTTAGTGATCCTCAAGCACATGCCACACCACAAGAAATAGTTTCAGTCAGAAACCAGAGAAACAACTGAAAGAGAGAGCATGTTGCTGAGGATGGCACTCCAGCTGATTTTCTCATCATAGTAAAAGAAAAGGGGAGGAGCTCTTATGGCATCTGCACAAGTCAATAATACAGTGAGACAAGAAAGAAGGCTCAAACATGCATGACATTTCAGAACTGTAGACACTTAAGGGAGCATTTATCAGCTGCCAATCTCCTTCCAAGTCCTAGATGAAGTGGCAAAAACTCATTGTATCTCAAATATTTTAAAATATTTTCTAAAGAAACAGACAAATACTCTAAGCTACTCCAAGCCTACTTCCCTCCCATCTTGCCTACCCAACACAAGCAAGGGCACAAACAGCTAGGGTGGCAAAGAGCTGACAGTCACAGTTTTAAGTTCTCAAGTTCCTCAGATGCTTTATCTCACCAACACCAAGGTCACTGGCTGAAGCTGCATGCTCTGTAGAGAATGAGGTGAACAGAATGTAAACTGCAGGATCTGTGCCTGTCTGCCATAGATTGAAAGTTCTTCACCTTACCCTCCCAGGTCAAAGCCACTTGAGCAGCTGCAGACGTATTTCTACTTATTATTCACTAAAGCCTACAAGAGAAATGCCCTTCCTCAAGAACAGAAATAGGACTCGTAAAGAGCCTTAAGAGCAGTGGCTTCTTTCAAAGTTTTTGAGCATGATTGTTATTTTGCTTCTTCTAGCCCTCTATATTAATGGCCTGCTACTTGTCCAGACTTTTGGAAAATATTATACTATAATTTCAGTATTTTATTTGTCAATCAATTTGAGATCAGTCAAGGGAAGAATAGCAGGTATAACTGCTATTTCAGCTATTCAGCACTCAGTTCCAATGGAGTTGAGCAGGTGAAGGAAACATCAAAAACAAACACATGAGCTTTGCTTTCCAAAATAATTGTCAGAATATCTCACCAGGCTGGATGTTCTCTCTAATGATGCTGACATGGTCATCACGGTCTGGTCGTGTATGTTCATGCCAAAAACCTATCACATGACCCAACTCATGGACAACTATGCCAAATTTATCACAGTTCTTGCCAATAGATATAGCCTGAGGACCATTTCCCCTTCGACCCACATAAGAACAGCACCTGTAATTGAAATACAAACACAGATGAACGTTTTCTTACATATGTCTACAAACCACATAGCAAATTCAGTTAAAACTTAACAAAATACTATATAAAGATTCAACAGTTAAATGTACAATGTAATTTCAGATGTTTCACAAACTCTAGATCTTCTACAAGAACAGCTGATTATTCAAAATACACACGAGTGGGGCATTTTTTGATATTATTCAATGTCTTAAAAGATGTCAGCTTTGATCAACAGAATTCTCACTGTCATGACAGTCTATTCAGTCATCCTGTAGAATGACACAGAAACCTGTTTTCAGCAAAATAATAAAAAGCAATGCTCTGATGGCAGCATGCACCACCATGTCTTTGTGGATCACAGGCAGTAATGTTAATAATGCCAGGTCACAGGATAAGCCCATGATACTGCACTTTCAGTCACAGCTTGAGTCCAATCTATTTACCACAACACTTCAAACCCAACCATGCAACCAATTTTAACCTACTTAGTTTTCCATTCACCTATAATCCTGCAAATCACCTTGAAGAGTCAATACATTTAAATACATAAGTCTTGGAATTTAATTTGTAGTTAAAAATCTTCATGATCTTAATACAACACATGATGGCAGAGCAAGGGATTGATGAGAACAAAGTCAGGATACGGACATATAATTGTCAAATGGCAGAAAGAATCCTTTTGTTTAATACAGTTTAAACACTTCTGCAGAGCCTCCATGTTGCCCACTATGTGGAAACTCTACAGAGAAAAATTGTAATGCAGAACTAAAGAACATTAATGATTATTTATGGCTTAAAACAAATCAATAGGTTATTGAGACCTAAAATCATAGACTATTTAACACATTTTCAATAGTTTTAATGTGCCTATTTTATTGACTTCATATACATTATATACTTCAGCTAGAAAAGATATATTTGGAGACCAGAAAATTTCTCTATATATTGAATATAGTTTTTTCACAGTGATATTTTGGAGATGAACAGATATAAAGGAAAAACTGAAAAGTAAATTATTATCATTAGTACCTGCTATATCTTTATTGACACTATTGATAACAAGGGCAAAATAATAAAATAGGATTTTAACTATAGTTTGTCTTCCTGTCCTTCTTACTTCTTTTGGACCAAATGAGGGTCTAACGTTTTAAGACTGTGTTTTAGATCACCTCTGAAAGCGTTTAGTGGTATTCCATAAATCAGATAGATTTTTAGGTGTCTGACAAAATAATTTAACATTTTACTCTTATAATAATGAAAAAGAAGGATTGAGCATTCTCAAATGTTTTAAATTACTTAGGCCACCTCACCTGACAGATCTTAAAGAAGGCTTTTTTTAGAAGAAAAAAGTTAATTGCAATCTTTTACATAATATTCCTCTAGGTAGTCTAAAGTTGTGCATCTAAACCCCAGCATATTGGGCATTATTTTTTTAATGCTAACCTGCTCCTAAAAAGTAAGCAGCCAGAGGGTGAGAGTTCCCTTACACTGGTTACTTGACAGATTTCAAGTACTCCTTAGAAAATATAAAGACATTTATTTAGTGTTTCTTTACATGCCAAGGAAAACAGAACTAACACCAAGTCTTAAAATAACAGCAGCAGTTCACACTTACAGAGGGTCATTAGGATTTGCTAGGTTGAATGTCTTGTCAAGCACACCAGATACATCCAATTACGCTACAACAATTTACTTCAACAATTGCGCTGAGACAAAGAATAAGGAAAACTAAAATTTAAAAAGTCTATGAAGTACATTAATTTGTAATATTATGGGTTTGATCCCAGGAGTGTTTGACAAAAAAAAACCCAAGATCTCTGTGCTGTATGAGCACTTGTCACACCCCTTAAATTGAATCAACTGGCAGGTTTTAAAGCTCATCTCTTTAATCTTTATTGCACCAGACAGCATTTGGAGACAGTAACTATTTATGAATCTCTAATTCCATTTAATCAGTCTAGCTGATCAATGACAGTGAGCAATGAGAAACAAATGACATAGAGAAAGTGAAATGAATGGAACAATAAGCTCAATCTTTAAAGTAATACTACTTCACAACTACCATCAAAAATACTCTTGATACAAAGGAAGAGAGAATCAGGTAGAGTCTATGTTGTCCTTTTTTAAAAAATCTGCACCCTTGAAAACGTGACAATATAAAAATCATAGACCACAACATCAGCTTGTCATGGCACTGACTGTATGAAGGTGAGAATGAATTTCAGAAGCATACTAGGATTGTGTATGATCACCTTTATGTTACACAAAGCAAGAAAAAGAGGTTCACAAAATTTCCAAACAAATTCTCACTCAGGAAGCAGAGTGTTCTTCTTGGTGAAAACACCTCTTTCAATCACAGATATAACTCTACCTATACAAAGAAGATATTGGCTTGATCAATTTGCCTTTTGTCAGGAATCAAGACACAATCATGGTTACTAAATGTCCTGATTCACTGCCCCAAGAGGACTTGTGATAGCACAAGTGTCTCCTGCATCTTTATCTGATCAGTGGAGATGCCCACCCCAATACTACAACCAGCATTCCCCAGCTAACAGCTGCCTATCCCAGTGTATTTATATAAACCACCCTCACCGTTTGTGTCAGCACACCATGCTCTAGACTGTGCCAACCTGTGCCTTGATCACACCCCTCCTGCACACAGGAGCCACAGCACAGCCAGCAGGGAAGCTGTGCCAGCTGCCAGGGTTATTTAACTCCTGAGAGCGTGAGTCAGCCCTCCCCCATGCACAGACTATTTAGCACAACTCTGCTTTCTTCTCATTTTCTAAGAGTGATTGAGCACCTTTTATAACATGTTCTTTAGCTGAGGCATGCTACAAAGGTGCACCTTAGGCAATGAATTTACCTGTTTCACCAACTTTAAGAACTTGCCTGCAATGCCTTTTTAACACACTGGCAAGTTCAAAGAGGTTAAAATATTCATCTGTTCACTCTACAATGTTTGGAGAAGCATATGAAAGAGATTTTATTTTCCTGTATCTCAAATGGATCTGTCAAATACTTAAACTGTCAAATACTTAAACTTCAATTGCAATAAGTCATCTGAATTTTATCATAAAAATTGTATAAGTCTTCTAATGGAGAACAAACCAAGATCAAAGGCATACTGAGTTACTAGAAGAATATAAATGCTCCTTTCTTTTTTGTTCTACTACATAAAAAGAAGCTTGATCTTGTACTCAATAATATTTATTAACACATAGTGACTAGATGCCATCCCAATATCCCTTTTTTGGCTTTGCATGCAGAAAAGTGCCCTGACCGAGTCTTTGGGCCCTTCCACTTTGATAAGCAGAAACACAAGGACAGAGAAGCAGTAGTGAGCAAATAGTGTTTTGAGTCTGTTACCGAGTTTTTTTTGCCTTAATCAACTAGATGCATAAATACTTGCTGTAATTGGTATTAATGCTAGTGTACACTGCTTGATAGTAGAATCACAAACACTAGCATCTTAATACTATATTCTTATTTTCATATCTGCAGTTTATGGATATAAAAGGCTATCACTAATTAGCAAATTTCAGAGTTAGTGATTCAGCTATATTATTAAACCATATTTTAATAATTAACTTTTCTAAAACTCAGGTTAAATAAACCAGACATGATGGAAACTAATTGTAGCTTGAAACTTCAGCAGATTTAATTAATCTCATGGCAAAAAGGGATGTGGCCGTAAAGCTTTTGACTTTTTTCTGAACTCTGTAAGCAAACTAGAGAAGCTGATATCAAGGGGGATATAAAGCTGCTTGGAGTATTACATGAAGTTAGACAGAGAAAACACTTTTTAAGCTTGCACTCATAGAAGACACTGCTAAATACCGTGAAGACAAGCACCTTTAGAAAATTATACAAGAGATCTGGAAAGGGAAATATGGAATTACTTGACATCTTAAGATGTGCAAAACCTGGTAAAGACTGGAACCAATGATGGGGTGTCTGTGTTGTGGAAAGACCTCTGGCTCTTTTTTGGAATGACATCCCAACCAACCGTGTGCTGAACACGGCAGCTGATGAGAAACAGGGAGGCACTGAGCTTAGGTACCTAAGAGGAAGGAGAGGCTACAAATTACATGAATGATCTCTTGCACTGGCTCAGCAAAACTGACAACTTATGTGGGCAAATATGCCCTAGATTTGGGGCTATCAATTTCAAGAATGATGTGGACTAGCTGAAAAGAATCTCAAAGAGCAGTGTGATTAAAGGCCTAGAAAACATTGTTTACCAGGAAAGATTAAATGAATTGTTTTCTAGCCCACAAGAATATAGAACAGAGTGGGATTTAACAACAGTATCAAACTATATAATTGATTTCTTCTAAAAGAAAAAGGAATTTCTTTTCTATGACCATAAGGAAAAAAATTAACGTCCTTTAATTGCAGTAAAAAATACCTTGTTTAGCTATGCCAAAAAAATGCTGCCCAAACTTCCTACAATTCTTATATTGAGGATGCTGAGCAATACAATTCCTAGAAGGCTGTGAAATATTAATTTCTGCAGGTTTTTAGAACCAAGTTACATAAACATATATCAGTAATGATATAGGAATAACTGTTTCTGTCTTAAGAATACATTAGACATCTTTCTGAGATCCTTTGCAGTCCTATGGGTCTATGATAATCAAAACTTATCTCTTGTTCCTTGCTGATATGGAACCTCTCAACTTTAAGAAAGTCATGTATCTCTTATAACCAGCTGCTATATTTCAAATATGCTTTTTTAATCACTGCTCTTCTGGGATGATCTTCCCATGAACTGTTTCAAGATGTGATGCATTACACTCCAAAATATCCTTATTGTTTACAAAGGCTCAGTAACACTTCACTTGCTAGCGTGCTAATGCTGTCATATGAGACTTTTGTAGATACTACCACCTGAATTTCCACATATATGACTATCTACTTTGTTTCAGTTAATGTGTTATGTTTTGACTGTGTGCTCTTTGGGGCAGGGTTTATCATTGAGCTTTTAATTTCAACAGTGCTAAGTACAATAAAGTCTCCGCCATCTGTGAACATTAGCTGCCATGGTAGTACAAACAATACTGACACAATGTGCTAACAAACCAACACAGCAGGGTGCCATGGGAAAGAGCTGAAGATCAGTTTCAATGCGACTGGCCATGCAGCAGAGAGTGCTTGCAGTTGGTTTGGTGTCACTTCAGTCTGGGCTCTTTCCATGGAAAATCCTGCGTCAGCACTGGATGCTGGTGGGTAGTGCACAGTTCCTGCTCACCAGAGAATGCGTGTCCCTATTTATCTGGGTCTTCCTGAAATGACTTGTGGGCCCCCAGAAAAATCATTCAGCTGTCCCTTCTGATTGGCCTGGCTTTATTTCATCAATGATGGACTTTTCATAGCCACTCTCTTCTTTGGTTTTACTTTAAACTTGTTACAGCTCTGGTAAATTATCTCTATTTTGCATAGTACCCTTCAATTAAGGAACATTAATGAAAAAGAGCAATCTAGACTTTGGGGGTGGATACTGATATTCCAACCTTCTAGTTAAAGCTGGTTAAAATCCTGCCTTCTCCTGAAGTGATTTGATCCCATGAAACATCAAGCAGCCTAAGGAACAGTTCTTTGGCTGAGAGATTTTTTTTGTCATTTGGCCTTGGGTATTTTGAAGTTGTAGGATTTACATTTGACAGATACCCGTATAGATCTCTTTCTAAAGTGCCTGAAAACACTTACACTTTTCACACTACTCCGTTTAAATGGCTTTCTGCCTCTGTATGTGCAAGGGAACCATCATGATTATTCTCTGCTTTCCATTTTTCTTCCAACTGTGTCTCAGTATCCCTGAATCCTACTTAATGAGTGAATCCTATCTCAGGGATGCCGTTTACTAAAATAATGCCCATGCTGGGTCAGAACAAAAGTCCATTTAATTTGGCACTGTTTCTAAGGGGAGTCTACAGCAAACCTACAGTGGCACAAGACAGAAGAAGCTCCCCTGCTGCGAGGATCTGAGGCTCAGAGACTTTGAGAGGCAAAGGCAATGCTTGTTTTATACTTTCAAAAGTAGCCCAGGGGTAAATTTTATCATGCTGTCCTGTACCTCAAGAAAAATACAATGGCTGCTTCAAACAGATAATTTTACATGTAATTTTAGAGACTATAAATGAAATACATCCAGGATCATTCCTACAACACAAGGAGGTCCCAAAAATTTTTTTCACTACCCTATCCTATTATGATTCAAAAGTTGACATGCAAAGGGCTCAATGATCAGGAAGTCAGTAAGACAGAGAGCTGCTCACTGCAGAGCCTACAACTCAAACAGGAGGTGACTGTCAGAAGTACAGAATTTCCGTAAGGCAGTGTGCGCTCTTCTTGGGAAATGAACACAGTGCACTCAGAAAGTGCACTAAGCTCCATATAAAATTAAGAATTCTGAGCAGAATAAATAGCAAGTATAGCTGTCAGAGGCATTTTTGAGCAGTAATATCTGAAGATGGAACATGGTGATTAATGGAAAGCTGCACTCCTGAGTAATAAAAACTGTTCTGTTCACTTTTACACATCAGTGACCCAGAGAAAGGAATCTACAAAATGGCCATAATTTGGTGATTAAACAAATCTGGGCAAGGATAGTCTAGCAATATGAGAGTGAAAATTACAACAAACAACAATTTAGCTGGAAAAGGGATGTGGGGTAGATGTCCATATTTAATTCAGCAGTAAATATGTGACATTGAGAAAGCTAAGAATAAACAAATAATAAACCTGAAATACCTTTAGAACAACGCATATGAATATTGGAAACATGACAGAAAGAAAGAAATAAGTCATATACAATATATACACATAATATGTGTATATATTAAGATAAAATTGTCTAGAAATAGACCATAGAGGTGCAACTTTACAAAGTTACCACACATACCTGTTCCAATGAACTTAAAAGCCAGGCAGAACAAGTGCATCATTGAAATGCATTCATTATTGATTTTCCTGTGAAGTTTATATTCCCTTATGGGTACAAAGCTGACAGACGTGGCCGTGAGCCAGAGGCTGAGAGCAGGACTGTGTGTTCCCACAGGTGCACACTTACCCACAGGGCCTGTAGGTGAAGACAATGTAGCTCTCCTCGTCGCTGCGCTCGATGAAGGTGACGCAGGTGTACTTCTCCCAGTGCCGCATGGCCTGCTTGAACATGGCGCGCTGCGTGCCTGCAACGGCAAGGGCAGCAGGTGAAACCACGGCAGCCTCCCAGCTGCACCTTCCCTCTCACAACCAGTACTAGGAATATGGGCCTGGAAGTAGTCAGTGAATCACAAGGCCCTGTGTGTCCCAGTAGTCCCATGTATGCAAGATTCCAGCTAAAGGGATACTCAGGCCGTCAGTTCATTGTAACAGATGTGCCTGCAAGGGGGCTCACACTGCCTGACACACCCCAGTAAACATAAACCGTGCCATAAAGATCACAACTGTGTTACACCAGAGGAAGACAGCAGAATAAATACAGTGTTGCTTATGTGCCTCCATCAGCACAACATTCACTAAGCAATTTCCCAGATGAAACTATCAAGTGAACCACACCGGGGGAGGAAAAAAGCCCAAAAAAACAGAAAGTAAAATAACAAGCAACACTGATGAACTTTACATCATAGCTATCCATCTAGTAGAAACAAAAATAATTTAAGAAATCCTACAGCCTTCAAGTCTGGACACCAGCTAAATCTAAGCCATGCCAATAGGCATACTGGTAAAAACATTTGATTAAAATAAGGCTGTCGTGAACAGCTACCAGTCTCCCCTTCTTTGCATCAAAATCTCTCAGAAAACAAATGATCCACCAAAAGTGGGAAATTCAGAATTTGGTAAAAGCACACCTAGATATTTGATTTTAAAATGAGAAATACATTCAGAAAAGGTCAGAACTATCCCCTAGATGCAGAATCATCCAGGCCAACGCTCAGCACAAAACAAAACTTCAGAGAGCAGAGCAATGTAATTTCATTGTGTGACAAAAGACAAAGCTCACTGACATAGAGGCAACATGTGAGAATATATCTGTATTTCTTCTGAGCTGAAAATTCACAAGAGTATTATCTGGCAATAATATGCTAGCAGAAATACATTCTCCTTGCAGGATAAAACATAAGATAATTAAACAAACAAAAATCTAACCTTTTTAAAATTTACAGACAAAACCTGAAACTTTATAAAAAGAACAAGTTCAAATCACATCAGATTCTAAAAAAAAAAAATAAAAAATAAAGGTCACTCCATCCCATCTTGCCCTTTTCTTTTATCTATAAGATATTTTTTCTAAGCTTTAGAATTTATCTTTTATGATGAGAAAGGCAAAATCTTTAATATGGTGCTTTCATTTAGTTTCCTACAGTTATTTCAGAAGACTAATCCTAATGCAAAGGTCACATTTGGCACAGTACTATGTAAATACCCAAACTGAAAGCCTGACTGTAGCTGTCAGTTTGAAAGGAATGACATATACAATGTGTGAGCATTTGCATGTTTCTTTTTGTTCCCTGTATTATCATATACAGGGAAGATGCTGTTTCATATATTTTCCCTTATCTCTTTGCTTTCCTTGCTCCATTTTTGTTTTAAATTATCTCTTACATCCACATTGATATTGACCTGTTTACCTTTTCCAAGGATAACAAATGTTTTAACTTCTTCTATAGTTTTCTGAGAAGAATTTTATATGTAAGGCATCCAGTCTTTATTTCTGTCATATACAGTGTCTGTGTGTACCCAGCTGAAAACCAAATTAAGGAATGACAAAACACATTTGAGTCAGTTTGTTAAGTGAAATCGGTTTAGAAGAATACGTCACACTGGTTAAACTGAAGATATTATTGTGCTAAATATACTGCATTAAAAAAAAATTCCTTGACATTCGATTACTTAGGCTCATGGAAACAAATGTGCAACAAGAAATATTAGGTAAAGAAACAGAGCTTTCCCTCTCTAAAATGTTGCTATACATTTTTTATTATGTAGCTTGCCTTTGCAAACAATTAAGTATGACTAATATTTTCAAAACAGATGTACTTCAGGCCTGTTCCAACAGAAACCCTTCTTCTGACTTCCATAGTATGACTTGACTTCTAAAAATTAAAAAAAAAAAAGGAAGGAAATTTTTAAAAAATTATCTTTCCTCTTTTCATGCAAAGCACAAAGCTTACCAGTGAAATTTCCTCCTATTACATATGGAATGACACCACCTGGCCATATTCTTTCTGTTCGTGATGTAGCAGCTCTGGGAAATCGGTTTTTCTCATTTTTCCCTGAGAATTTTACAGTAGTTCTTCCTTTAGATGTATTATTTTGCTCAAAACCTGCAGTGATAATTAAAACACTGAATGAGATCACACACACATGAAAATTCTTTTCTAACAGGTCAAACTCAGATTTCTTTATACCCTTTCTAAGCAGGACATGGGTGTTACATGACAGTCTATTATTACACAGTTTTCTGAGAAAGACATGAAGTCTGAATCTTTATTTTTTTGGACTGTATCTAGAGTAACAATCTTGCACATATGTTTATCAACTGGAATGTACATTGCATAAGTGCAACTAAATTTTCTCATTTTATAAAAACATTTAAGAAATCACTCTCCCTGTGGTTGTGGTGGTGTTTTTTGCATTTAATTTCCTCTGGCTTTTGTTTTGGTCTGTTTTTTTTAAATAAATGAGGATTTTTCCAGCAAAGAATGTCAGAGTTTGGACAGACTCAAACTAATCAAGACATTCACTCTCCCTTTCATTTTTATTGTATGATCTGGAAAAAGCAAGTACAATGACCATCTTTAAAGCACTGGGCAGTAAGAAATCATACATTTTTCATACACTAACATTTGGAACCCCACAGGTAGGTTTTACTTATGGCTGGAATTTCTTTACAAGAGAAAAAATTGTCTACCATTTTCAGGGATACTACCACGATTCATCCCATTACAGGCAAATCTTTCTAAATCAGCTGAAACCTACTGCGAGAACAGGAAAGGAAAAAAGTAGTTAGACAAGGATTTGGACACCATAACAGGTGTTTCTGAGCAATTTTTAAGTTGGTTTGGAGATCTGGCCAGTTGATCAAAATGGATCCCTCAAAAAGTGGTTAACAAATCCTACTCAGTGCAGTTAAAGCCTTTTTTCTTACTCCTGGTGGAAGATTACATTTTCCCTTGGAGAGAATCCCCTGTGGTACCAGCTGCACTTGAGTGTTAATGACCATGTCAGAATCGGGGAGGATTCCAGGGCAGAGTCATGGTAAGGAATGTCGGCACAGCCCCAAGGCTGAGAGAGCAGCAATAGGAAGACCAGGAAGAAGCTACAGCACAAGGCAGGGAGGAAGCTCTGATACTTGGGAAGAAAAGTCTGCCTTTGTGACAGCCAACATGTAACTGGAATTGTACCAGGAATTATACAGAAAATTCCAGGGTTTAAAAAAAACCCCAACCAAATATATAGGTAAAGCAAATGACTAATCTTTGTAATTAAATGAGTGTGTAAATGAAAATTACACAAGAAATTACACACAAAGTGTCTAAAGTATAGGCAGACTTTACGGAAAACTATTTTTACACTTAGTATGCAGTCATTACTGAACCACATCACATACTTACTTAGATGTTTTACTATTCCAAATTACTTTTATCTGTGCTCTTTAGAGGTCTAAGCAAGAAATTTATTCCAAACTGCACCCAAAAGATGACAAGAATTTATGCAATATTAAAATTTTAATTCTTGTTTAAAGAATGAAGATTGTATATCAAAGCATCTCTGCTAAGGCAGTTACCGTGCTCTGAGTAACACAACATGGTGCAATTACAATGGAGTTGCATATAATTTCCTTTTTGAAGTGAGGTTTCACACAACATTAAAGTGATGTCTTCTTGCATCAAATATAGAGTGTAAACTCAGCCAGAGTTAGGGGAGATTCCACTTCTATGTGCTGCTCAATTTAACTACATTCATACTGACAAGAGTATGATTAATAGAAAAATATGCTTGTTCAGCACAACACACCACAAATGCTTTACAGTATGAATCATCAGAGTGCCCCACCTGGAGCCAGAAAAAAGTAGGAAACAAACTAAATTAACAGCTTTGCAGCATAGTCTACTTGCAGTGAAAAGACACTGTATTGACATTAGTTAAGCCCATAACTGTGAACACAGTCATAAAACAAAGTTAAGCAATTTTTAACATAACATTTAAAACTACGTGCTTTAGCTTTCAGATTTCATGTTGGAAGAAGAACTCTAAATAGTTAATTTCTTCATTACTATTCTTGCACTAATAATTTTTTAATTTGTTTATGCCAATAGTAATACAGAAAGGTTTTAAAGTGTTAAAGTACTATCATCATTAATGTTCATGATACACTATCACATCAGGCAACTTGCTAATTTAAACAGTGAAAATACCAGAGCCAAATCTTCTTATCCTCTCTATGAGCTGATAGAGGGCACCAGGTTTTTTTGACATTCCATGCTCTCCAAAGCCACCTTTAAAAAGAAAAGAAAAAAAAAAAAGAAAGGAATTTCCAAAAGTTAAAACTGTGGAATTTTACACACTCAGCAACCATATCAGCCTAGAGAGGCATCCTAAAGGAAGCTTCATATTCTTCGATAATTTCCATAAAAACATTTCAAGTACTCTTGACAATGTGATAAAAATACATGATTAGCTGAAAATTTTTCTAATATGCATTCCATGAATGTAAGCCAACATGTCTTTGTTATTCAGGCAAGTCATGACAATTACATCATCTAATTATTATTTGGAGCTTTTTTTCTTCCTGCTGACCCTGACATCCTCAGAGCCATATTGATTGACAGCTAAAAGGGTTACTCTCAAAGAAATTTCCTGAATGCATTCCATAATTTTCTCATTTCAAGGGAGGGGAAGGAAAAAAAGCAAACAGTCAAAGTTCCATCAGAAAACAAACAAACAAACCAACCCAGCAAAACTTAATATGGTTGATTTTGCCATGAAATATTTGTTTTTCTTTGCTAGCATGCAAATAGAGATGCCAATGCAATTTTAAGGCCTTGAAACATCACATGCTGGTGTATACTGCAGTAAGACCTGGCAGGTATATACACGTATACGTCTGTGTAATTACAGCAGCCAATGAAAGCCTAAAATAGGAAGTAGTTTATTTTAACATTTACCACGCCATTTACAGAAATAAAACATATTTCTGTGTTTACTGCATCTGAGTCTGCTACATCCTCCCTTCACACATAAACCTTTTGCAGCTACAAGTGGCTTTTCAAACACCAGTAAGGCAGAAGCAATAACACTGACTACACTACACGAGTCAATTAAATAATGCAGAATTGTTCTGAAAGTTTTGTGATTTTAGAGGTTTGCAGCAAGCTGTATTTTACAAGTCAATACTTGTTATAGGACAAGAGAGTTTCTAAAATACTTTAACAACTGAAAAGGTAAAAATATACAAAAAACCAGACCACTGAAACCTCCAGCAACACTAAAAAGGCATTTCCCAACTTTCTATAAGAAATTTTAATATCTATGCAGAAAATATTTTTAAGCAGCAACTTGAATTCATATTACAGATGAGAAAATCCCCTATAAGGCAAGTGAGTGTGTGGCTGCTCAGTGAATAACAATTATTTGCATTGCACTGTCACATAGCTGCTGGCTCTCTTGGGAAAAATTTTCCAAATTTTTAAAAACATTTTAAATAGATGAGGTAATAGATCAACACATTCCTTTCCAACAAGTTACAGGGTAACTATAACATAAAGTGCGAAGGATAGAACATGGATCATCATTAATGTAATTGTCTCTCATGTTCACATTCATCTTATTTTATAAGGCTTATAGCCAAGCATTCCAAATAAATATTTTAAAAAATCATTATAAGCATCAACTGGCAAATAAAAAATACCTAAAGAATCCATTAGTTACTAAAGTGTTATACTATGTTTTTAGGGGGAAAATAACCCCAAAACACTCTTCTGTCTTATTGCAGTCTGTGTATTTCATTTAGTGAAAACCCAAAGAAAAAGTCTCTCACTTAACTAAGCTGTCTCACATGCAACCTTGCCAAGCCATATAGACTAAAAAAGTTTTAATTCTAATTTGCTGCATCTTCTCATAATTCAGGCAGGATAAGGAGGATACTTTTGGCAGTTTGGACTTATAAAACTATAGACATAAATGTTATCAGCTTAACTCTTCTTTTCTGTTTACGGTGATTATGCATTTTGCTTGTACAAAATGAAAAATGAAATGACAGAGCCATACTCCAAGAAGCTCACAATTTATCTGACCCTGCAAATCCAGGCAGATAATCCTCATGAAAAGGAGCAGTCACACAATGTGAATCACAGCCTGTGAGCCTCAGGATTTTAATTAGAGTTGCAATAACAACTGTGACTCCACCACTTCCTCGTGATGGTTTACAACCAAGTATCTAATCCTTCTACCTGATATCACCTTTAGTCTGTGAAAATCTACAATAGAAATTGCTCAGAAATCAAGCTTACAATTCATTGCCATTGTGTCTGTAACAAAGACTAAATTTTGTATTCTAGATTGCAGATACCTAGGATTGCTTTTATTCCTTTTCCTGTTGCTACCCAATACTAATGAGCTAGTTAGAATTTTACTCTTTTGGAATTAGGAGAGATGAGCACACAATTCCTAGATTACACATTAAGAATCTTGTAAATTTGGAAAAATAAATTACATATGTGAAGTGTAAAATTGACTTCTCTAATGCTCTTTTTGGAAAGATCAAGAATGTTGAAGGTTCACTGAGAGCAGTTACGAAGTCATTAACTTATGAGAGTTTGTTCTCTAAAGTTTAGTCCCACTGATCATCACAATTGCATCGACTCTTGTTGTGCAATAAAGGTAGAAACAACTGATGCAAATGCATTAGCAAAACTTAACGGGGTGATTTAATATCCTGAATAGGATACCATCCACAAGAAAACATAATGTGTATGTCACAAAACAGGTAAAAAAGGAAAAAAATAAGTATTAGAAAATTTAATATAATTTTTAAATGCTTAGAAATTTGTATATTTGTGTGGAAATTAAAAAATAATAACAATTTTGCAGTTCAAAAGTAGAAAAGCAAAAAGAAGTGGGAGTCAGCAAGCCAAAGAAATCACTTGACTGGCCCCAATTTAAGGGGAAATGACCGAAGTTGTTCTGCATTTTTTCAACAAAACTGGTGCCTGAGATATCTTCAAAAGCAATTAAAACTATTTGGTTGGAGGACAGGAGAGCAGAGAGACCACTAATTCCATTAGCATTTTAACATCTAGTCCAGATCTAGATGATCAAAAGTTTTCCTGTTTTGGAAAAACAAGTAGATGTAAAGGAGATACATTTTGAAGTTGTCATAAAAATACTCTAATCACAATATCTACCTAGAATGAATAAAAATATTTTTAAGTATATCAATATTGAAAGCTTAAATTCAAACTTGATTCTTTGGTCTAAAAATTTTTTTCCACATATCAGGAATAATTTATGGTAGCTCAGTTCAGGCATACATAAAACATGCTTATCAGAAAACAAATTTCAGTAATAAATTTTTACATTTTTAATAACATTTTTTCCAGACTTTTTCTCAGTAAGTTGGCTTTTTTTGTATCATAACCTGAAAGTTCACAAATTCTCAGTTGTCAATTTACTAATCACGGCCTGAAAGCATCAATATTTTTAGACATTAGACAGACATCCATTTAGGCATGGATTATGTTTGCTCTCTTGTAAACAGACATTTACACATAAAAAAAAATCTCTTTATCTATCTGTCTGAATACCCAGCTGCCTCTGTTAATCAGATTGCAGCTTCTGGTGCTAATGCATTGTGTGTTAACAATAGCATAGAAATATTATTAAAATGTCAAATAGAAGGTTTTTTAGTTTTTTGCATGTCTAGCAAGGATGATGAACACATTCTAGCATTTCCTCTAGGTCTGGGTACAGAACTGGATGAAACAGTAAAAAAAAAAAGCAAAAGGAGAGGTTGCAATGCTAGGCTTCCAATTTTGCCTCCAGGATACCACATATGTTCTCCATAGTGTGTTTGGGCTCTGCTATCAGGAACTTTCAGTGATGAAATCAAAGCTTTGTACAATTTCCTTTCCCACATGACCACCTGCAGAGTAGACTCTAATCTTCCTACAAGTTTCTGTTCCTCAACTCAACAAGACATTTTTAAACAGAAATGCTTGAATAAAATTAAATATTTTGCTTCTCTTTTCCCTAATGTGAATCTATAACTTTTGTTTAACAACTTTTTAAAGTGTAAACTCAAGTTATCCAAGACATTATACTGACTTTCCACATTTAAAACACAGAATTGTCTTCAGAATTAAGTAACAGCAAAAATAAATTAAAACAAGTTTGAAATAGCATACCTGTGTTATGGCCAAGTCTTTCGTTGGAGTGCTGCGTAAGGTCAATCGTCCTGTCAATTTGAAAGATTTTTAAGTCTTCATCATCTAAGGCAATATCTCCCCAAAAGACAGCTTTAAATAAAAAAGAGCTCAATTTAATTAAAGAATTATTGGACAATAAAGCCAATCTGAAGAATATAATGCCAAGTTTACAACTTTTGGGAAAGTATATGACAAATATATATTTACATCACATATATTTCCTTACTGATCTACATTTTTATGTGGAGAAAATAAGAAAACTACCTAGTGAACGGCTAATAACTTATTCCAGAATCTTCGTCTATATGGTTTCTTTGTACATTACCTAAATGCAGTAACTTAAATCTAGAGTCATTCTATAAATAATTTTTTAGCATGTAGTTTTCTCTGTGTAAATAAAAAAAGTATAAAAGACCCTGAGATATCAATATTTGAACTATGAAGTAAAATGTCTGACAAAACAGAACCTTTATGTTTCCTAATATCTTTCTAAAAATAGTAATTATTGAAGGAGTTTTTATTATGCTTCAGTTGCTTTCTATGTTACATTATGTTTTGCTCAGATCATTAAATCTGTTTTCTTTTAAACTGAGAAAAGGAAAACGCTAAAACCCTTTATTTTTTATTTTTCCCCTCAATTTATTTGTATGTTTTCCTTTTGCAGTTAATCTCACAATTAGGATGCTTTCAAATTCTTTACTTTCCAAAGCTCCAATCTCTTTTTAAATTTTCTTTGACCTTTTTGGTGGATTTCTTCTCTCTTTTCTTTTTCTTTCAGGTTTTTTCTTTTTCACTTCTTCATAGGTAACTCATCTTCCCTAAGTTGCCTCTACAACTCAGTGGACCATGATACAATCCCACTTCCAGGAATTAGGGATCTATAGCCTCAAACATTCATCTCCGCCTATTTCTGCAGAGATTTTATCCTGAGATCTCCCTGCCAATTTAAACTTAGCGTTAAAGCTGAACTCAACACCCATATTCTTAACTGCTGGGAATGAAGACAACAGAGCATGTACCAATTAACAAAAGTGGTTGTTTATCATCTTGATCCAAATTCCTCCTTTTCCTGTTCCCTCAGAGTCACAAACCCCTGGATTCAATCTCAGTTTCACCTTCAACTCCTTTCCTTCTTTCCCCCATCAAGGGAGACATCAGTAACTGCTTGGTTGTTTGTTACACAGCTCTACAGAAAACTTTCTTCACTTCTACCCAAATAAACCCTAGTCCAAAGTCCAGCTATTACCAAATCAACCTCTCTAGTGTTCCTCCATTCACACTGATCCTAAACATTGCTCTTAAATGTATTCTTCTTCTTCTCTGTTTGCTTTTTATATCACACTTTAAAGACCACTCATCAGACAATATTCTCATCACAGTAGTTTCATATTGCTGCAAAAGTTACCCATTTCACAGAATAAGTTGCTCACATTGGTGTTGAATTGAACCCACTTTAAACGAATAGTTTTTTCTTAAACAAAAAGATTGGTAGTTTAAATAAGTCCAAGATATTGTATTGCCTCCTCCAGTTTACTTGATTTCTCCTGAACAAAAGGCAACTATGAGAAATTATGTTCACTGACTTTACCTTGCCTTGTAAAGTACCTATAAAACATCCCCAGACCATCTGCACAGTGCTAATAATGAAATTATTAGTGAAATTAAAAACTAACCTTTTCAATTCACGGCAAAACCAACATTTTATGTTTCCTCCAAATATTAATATTTCTACACACATAAATTTTTTTACACAAGATAATGGTTCTTAGAAACCACAAGCACTTGAGACAATTACTGAAACTGTTCAGTCTAGCACATTGTGAAACACTATCCTTCCGAGGGTCACTGTTCTCATGCTCACGTTGGACACACTGGGGACATCCTTCCTCTAGCTAACCTGTTCTCACCAGTGATGGTTTTATCGTCACATCCATCAAGACACAAAGCCAGTGACAGCTCAAGATGTTTGTGTCTCTTTTCACTTAAGCTCCTTGGAAAAAAAAATCTCAGATTATCAGGGTTTTGAACAGTGAAAGAAGAAAGTCAGTAGTCTCCATCTGTTTGAGCTAAATATTATTTACTTTTATAAACATCTTCTGAAGTTTTCTGTTGAATGCCATTCATAATGAGGACCTCTGTATAAGCACATGGACAGATTGCAAACTTGAACAATGAGAACAAAGTTGTAAAAGGAAGAATCTATTAACATTTCTGTCTGTAGAGACACAAGGTGCCCCAGCAGAAGTCATACAGATTGCCCACACCAAACTCAATGAAGCGCTAAAGCTTAGTAGCAAGGCCACTTTTCTTTCCTCTTGATATTGAGCGTTAACAAAAGGAAGATTCCAAATTAACAAAGAATGATGCAAAAGATAGCCTGCTGACAGAAATGCATTAGCAGAAATCACTTTGGTTTCTGTGTGCAATACTGATGTATAAATAGCAAAACCCAAGGCAAATCAAACTTCCTACTAACATTAAAGTAGAAAAAGGAAAATATCTTCCCTAGTCCTGGTGATGCATCTTTATCGCTTTTGCCACTTCACTGTGGTAATAATCACTTAAAGATGAAAATTCAAATATAGAAATACTAATTTGTTGAATTTGTCTGACATAAAGTCATCAAATTTGTGTGTACATATGTAAAATACACCATAGTGTTCAGGCAGTGTGGAGTAACTGTGTTGCCTTAGAAAGGAAAAGAAAGCTATTTTTGTTAAGCATCTGGTGCATTGTCTTGTTTTTGATTAGCAACCAAGGACCAGGTTGAGTTTACCATAATATAATGACAGTAATATAATAATAAGTCCTGATACAAGTGTCACGTAAGCATAAACAAATATGTGACCAATAGCAGACACATACTAAAGAAATATGAGTAACCACTAAGATCAGAAATAGATAAGATTATTTGATTAAAATACAATGGAAAGTTTGGAACTTTCTTCAGGCCACTGGCTCATTTTACTCAAGGCAATTCTGTTTTGCAGAAGGCAATAAACGTGCCAAAACACAGAAACCTTGATAAAAAGATCTCATTTGACTTTAGCAACAATTTAATAAGTGTCACTTTACTTTTACTGAACTACACCTCTGATCTTCTGAATTAATTCAACTTTACATAGCAAAAGAAACAACAGTTTACTGGATGTTCTTTAACTTCAATGTAGTCCAAGCAATCATCAACTGAAACAAAAAGGGAGCTGATAATTGTTTTTTAAAATTTCACCTTTTTTCCAACTAAAGGCCTGCACTGAATATTAATTGTGCCCTTCAAAGCCCAAAGCACAACCCCAACAGAATTATCAAAAAGGTTTAAAAACTATCCCCCATAACTATTAAAAATATCCTATAATTTTTGGGAATGGCAGTTTAAGCGTCAAAATACTTTGTAACAAGAGAAGACCATAGTTTTATCTCCTGCCTTAAAGCTTTTATGGCCTGAAACCATCTGAAGAAGTCACTCTGTATACTTCATCATGTCACAAACCAATGTTAACATTACAGAAAGCAAGCAGAGGATTGTTTGGGTATGCAAGGCATGATGTTAAAGGCTTTGCTAAGAGCATGTTAGGATTAAGAGCTTTAGTAGCTCCCTCCAAGGAACTTCTGACAGACTTGATCAGTTCAGCTGTTCAGTCATTTTTCACACATATTTAATTAATATGTTTCATCTGGAAAATTAACAAGAATCTGATAATCAATTGACTAGGCAAGGAAATAAAACTGAAACAAATGAATAGAAAAACTTTTAAAGTGATCCAAACAGAACTTAATGTACCTCTACTTATTTAAGGTTGTGTCATATTATCTCTTATCCTACCTATTTATTCAGTGATCACAACAACTTGATATTCCAGGTGGCTTTTTTGTTTATTTTGAAAATGCAAGACTGCGAGTGAACTTAAGAAATATCTGTTGAATATCTGAGACAGTATTAATTGCAGAGAAAAAATAATCCAAATAGCTTTTATTATATAAAGGTTCTTAAGAAAAAAGAAAATGGACCTTTTTGTCCAGCACTTGATAAAGACAATATCATGCCAGGTAGTTTTTGGTTTTGTTTTCTATTTTCATATGTTTTATAGGGACCCAACATGATACACTTAAACAAATTCAACAGTGAAAATACACGCAGCAGTTTCTGAAAGGTGGACAAAACCTGGTTATGCAGTAAATACATGTTTTCCTGCAACAGTGGAGAAGGATTTTTGTGGAGCTGTTAAAATAGAGAAGACACTTAACCAGCAGATACAGTTCTGCTCTGCTTTCACACAGCTCAAAAGCTCTCAGTTAAACAGCACTTTCTAAAAGGTCTTATAAACACAAAACACTGCTACAAAAGCAGACAAGTTTGCAACCTGCAGCCAATTAGCTCACCAGCACTAAACAAAGAGGAAAATAAGTAGGTTGTATAATTTTCAAAAAAGAGAGTTGAAGTATATTATGTTTATAGATGTACACACATGGTATGAGTCAATGAGCATGTACAGTGACAATAAAAGCATCTTTCACAACTTTCAAGATGTCTGGAAGAAAGAAATTATTTGCTAAATACCATAGGGCTGCAATATGTAGTAGGATGGCTCGTTCTATGAACTGAAATATCAATTAACATGTAAGTCTGCAAAATATAGACAGGAGTACATTCTTATAACTGCAATAAAATATTTATCTTCTTTAAGCATCACAACTTCTCCTACAATTTCGCTTTTTAAAACTCAAATCATAAGCAGCCATTTTTTAACAAAATATCTTCCTGCTAGCATTCATACCAATATTAGTAACAACATAAAATGAAAGTAAGTTGGGATTGCTGGTGTTTGTCCCTACAGCACAGCAGCACAGTCAAAGAAAACCAACTTGACCTTGGGGTAGGTCGGAGCAGTCAGCTAGCCCGCAGAGACCAACACCACCCAGAAACCATTCCCAGGGCCTGATTTGGTCTGATGACTCCTCAGGCTAAAAACATGTTCAAATGAGACCTTCCCAAACTGAGATGTAAACTGAGATGTAAACTGTGATCTTGTCCCGTGAGTAGACAGAATTTTGACAGAGGGATTACTCCTATAATGAGAAGATACCAATGA